GCCAGTAGCCGTTTCGTGCCCTTTCTACTGAATTTGGATTTTATTGGGGGGGGCCAAGTTCTGTACAAATGCACAAACATTGTATGTATATCTTGCTTGAGTCCCAGACGTGCAGAATGGGAAATGGAACACTTTACAGGACTCCCCCTTTTCGTTTTTGGATAGTCAAAATGAGCGTTCCTTCATCTGATTGTTCCACGTTGTTTCCTGAAAATTGAATCTTTGGGTGGGGTACCCCTGCGTCGTAGGAAACAGCTGGGGTTTTCCATTTCTGGAGGGTCCTGATGGTATGCTATTGTGGCACATTGCAAAGTTCTGAGGGTTTCTTGCATAATTACCCTGAAGCAATCAAACTCGGCAATGGACAATTCCAAGTTTGTCGTCTAAAGAACGGCCGATTTTGCATGGCCACATGGTTTTTTTTACCACAGGGTAATTGCTGTTTAATACTGTTTATGGGACTCATGCCACATCCAGACTCCTTCGCCCTTTTAAGCCGTTCCCAAGAGGAACATGGCCAACCGCTAGCCAAAACTGGGAATCAATCCCACGACATACCTAGCAGCCTTTCTGGCAATGGCTGCTGGGCGACCAGCATGGGCCGAGGGACACCAGTATCCATTTGGAGAATGAGCAAACATTGTGAAGGGTGATGTGCTTAAGATAGTTGAATTAATGATAGCGACTCGCGACCCCAAAGAATTTGAATTTATACAATTGATGGTTCAAACATGATATATTTCTGAAATTATTCGCAGCGTGGAGGAAGCATGACTTGTTGACACTCTTAAAATCTCTTGAATACCATTAATTGTCAATCATATTTCAGAGATGTCCAGATATGCTGACACTCTTTCAGATTTTTCTTGACACTCTTGAATGATTATGGTCAATTTAATTATTGTCAATCTGATCTGGTTTTTGGATGTTTTTGGTACCTGAAGTCAATCATTTTGACCCATCTTCCCATGCTGAGTAGCCCAGATCCTCCTTTTTTCCGGTTGTTTTTTGCATGCCGAAGACATGCAGTGTCAATATTGTCAATTCATGTCAATGATCAGGCTTTAGATGTATAGACGTGCTGTCAGCAGCAGGAGACCTGCCGTGGGATGGGGCTCAAAATTGCAGAAATGAAGCCAAAATCATCCAAATTCATGGCTATATTCGACAGGAAAACATCTTCCAAACCCAATTCTGTGGGTTCCGTGTCAAATTTTGGTGGTTGTAAATACTAAAATAACCCGCCATGGGTGGGTTCACAAAGCTACCCCATTTTGATCCATGGCTGTGACAACCTGCCCATGGCGCACGGAAACACCAATGATTGGTGCCACCAAATGCACCGACAATGCCTGTGCCGCATGTGGGGCTTGGGTCTGAATCCGATAGCTGCTTCAAAATTGCGAGAGAGAGGTGGCATGCTTGTTCGCCACTATTGGCATTATGGGTTGTTACTGGTTTCATCGGAAACTATCATGGGATGTAACATGATGTAACATGAGGTGGGCTGAGACAATGCCTAATGAGTGTAACATTTTTTTCATAATGAAAATTTGCCCCATGTGTGAGAGATGGCATTTAGAGGCGGTTTCCAACGAGAACCGCAGCGGACAAAAAAGGCGCTGGTCGTAATAGGTCCCCTCGATGTGGAAGATGTAAGACACAACCGGAGAAGCTGGATGGATACATCATATACCCTCTGGTTATTTAACATAGCCATGGAAAATGGCCCATTTATAGATGGTTTACCTATAAAAAATTGTGATTTCCCATGGCTATGTTAAATAACCAGATGGTACTCTACTTATCATCCTAAAAAAATGGGCTTCCCGTCCTGGCTTAACAGCGTGATAAGCAAACATTTCGTTTTGGACCCTTTTTGGCCTCAAGAAAAAGTCAGTTTCGCGTGCTTGGAGATGCGCGGGTTTTTTTCCTGTACCATAAGACCATATCACATTGGGTTTGTCTGAAAATATGGTACTGTACCTCTAAATCCATTGGTGAATGATCATCTTCAATATTTTCATATATTTTCCCTATTAAATGGCCATTAGACAGACCCAGAGGTTTTTTCCCAGGGAAAGATCTCCAACATCACGACATATCGCGACTTGTTTGTCCTGCATGGGCTCTTGCCCTGGCAGAACGCCAGGGTGTGAGGCTTGGTACAGCTCGGACTGGTTGGTGGTCTCTTCTTGGGACTCTTTTTCGATGGAAGCGATGGAAACCCATTGAGTTCGATGATGTTCCTATGTTTGTTGTTGTTTTTATTGTATATGTTTATATGATGGTGATTTTCCATAGCAAACGTTTAAATTGGAGAAATAATAATCTGGTTGGTGGTTTGGAACGTGAATTTTATTTTTGCATAGATTGGGAATAATAATCCCAACTCGACTTTCATATTTTTCAGAGGGGTAGGTATACCACGAACCAGTAATGGTGATTTTCCATAGCAAACGTTTATCTTGGTGAAATTACCAGAGGGTGATGATATTCATATGATGTTACATACCGTGTCGATCCGTGTCGTAGCTGATTGGTTATCATTGATTATTGATTATTGACCTGCCGTTCATTGGCCCCTGGCTAAACAGGCCATCATCAAATAATGTAAGTGTATACGGTCTACAACATGATATTATGTCGTTCCGAACTTCGTTTTCCGTACCAAAGATGCAGACTAGAAGCAAAGCCGGCTCCAAACATGAGTCCCGGTGTCGCCAACCCTCCATTGTTACGAATGGACCCTGCGGCTTATGCACCTGTCAGAAACATCAGCATTCGGAGGGAATTTCAATGGTGCCACCAACCAGTTGAAGAAATTTTACAAGTTGAATTGTGCCGAGTCGGCCCGGTGGAACTGCCCTGCTGCTGGGATGATTGTAATAAAGCCGAGTCCTCGACCAGAGTACTGATTGATTATTGGAAAAATCACTAGTTCCAATGATTGGTTATATAGTGGAAAAATCACTAGTTCCAATGAATTTAGACCTCATTTGTTCCAATGGATTAGGATGGACGTAAATTGGGGATAGACACTTCCAAATCACCACAGGGCTCAGGTACAGTTCAACCAATATTTGCAGGAGCCTGGTTGTCTTTGGACAAACCCTGGGTCGTCACAAGTCCCGTGCAAAAGCTGTGTGCGGGGGAGATGTTGGGCAGATAAATCCACACATTGTACCATGACAACGTATGTGAAAATGTGTTTGCATTTCGTGTAATGTAATGTGATGTAATGTTCTGTTTTGTTCTGTTTTGTTATGCTCTGTTACTATTTGTTACTTACATGTGATATATATTTGTGTAGTGTGGAAATGTTGTGTGCTTGGTGCAATGTACTGTCATGTCATGTCATGCTACGTCATGCAACGCAATGCAATGTGAAGTCATGTACTTAGTATGTAGACACTCTCCGCCCTACATATACTTTCCGGTTATGTCAATACACAAAATGTTCTCAATGATTCAAAATGATCATGCCTTCCGGCAGTCTTGACAGATGGCGATGGAGGGAGAGAGAGAGAGAGAGAGAGAGAGATTCAAATGACCATATTTTCCTCAAAACTATATAAATAGGACCGAGAACTTCTTTCCGTGAACACGCATTCAAACTAAAACTTGTTTATATCTTGACTGTTGTTTAAATAAACGGCTTGAAGGGCCAAAGGAAGCCTGACCAACTGCTCGTTGGAATCCATTGGTATCATTGATCGTCAATCAACTTGTGGGGAGAAGGTGACAATTCTAAGACCAATGGGTCATAGGTCATATGGATATGATATGATTGGGATGTTGATGATATTGGGATATATTGGGTATGTGTAAAAGTTGGTAGTTAATCATCAAAATACTGTAGCCGCTGGAATTTCCAAATCAGCCGATGGACTCACAGCCTGATCAGCCTGCCTTTGCAAGCGTCACGGTGAAAAAACGGTGACCAGGAAATACATGGCATGCTATCAACCAGTTTTTAAAGGTCTACGAATCTATGCTCTAACTCCAATGAATACATTCCAGTCTTTGCAGACACTATTCAAAGTCTTTCACAAGCGATGAAATATTTCAGGCATGATGTTCAGCGAAAGAAAGTGAGGCAAAAATGCTGGATGTGACGAGCTCCTGCTGTACCAATCGGGTAGGCAGTTTCCATACTACAGCTACTGGAATTACTAAAATGCTAGCAATGATTGTCCATTCCAATGGTTTCATTTCAGCATTCATCGCTTGAATAATATATATATATATAATGTAGACACACACACGCATATGTATATATATATATACGGAACTATGCAGACACATGTATATATGTGTATTATTGTTTATTTATTTATTTTTTACACACACATACATAGACATACATGAATAACCATGAATATACATGTTTTATTTACATGTACATACAGCACATAATCTATATAGTATATAATGTATGTCTCCAAAATTACCTTGACATACACATCTACATTCAATCACCTTCATAGTGTATCTCTATACCTATATCTCATATAGTTTGGTGATATGTTCACTAATATCCATAGAAATAACTAACATTAGAGGCAAATAATATGTATAATCACAGTATAGGAAAATGTCGAAATATTTATAACAACCCTCTACTCACATTGGAAGCCATTTGTTTCTGAAGGAAGATTTCCAGATCTCCATGGCGCTCCATGCGTTACGCCGCAACACCTGGCGCCCGAGGCGCCCGGTGATGGACTGGTCTAAGGGAACATCTACAGGAAACGTGACCATCAAAATCCATCAAATATCGGGGCAGAATACCTGTCAATTTTCCCATCATCCAATTCTGTGTCCTATGTTGGGAGGGGAAAATTCACAGGAGGCCCCATACAGCATATACAGCATATAGTTATTAACATAGTTTCTGAATGATTCTCCATGGGTTTCTGGAAGATTTTTCAGCAACCCAATGATGGGGTAGTCGTTTTCCCTGTCACCATCTGTCGAGGTGAAGAGTTGTGCTCAAGATGAGGCTGCGGCACTGCAGCACTGCGGCACTGCGGCACTGCGGATGGATTTTGAAGTGAATGATGGATCCAAATCATTCGAACAACGAACATATTGGGTCGTGGATTGAACCATATTGAACACATCAACCAATTTTTGTGCTTGGTGTTCAGCCCTGAGTATGATCTGAATTCTACTTGAGGTGTTTTGAAAGGAGCCAAAATCACCAATCCATTCTTGTATGGATAAATTAAAGCTACCGATCAGAAAAAGACTGAAACATCACTCCTCCTGAGACTTAGAAGTGGAACCTGAAAAAGGGCCATATCTAATATCTGATCCAACAATCATAAAACAATCTCCAAAGCGGGACTGTTTTCAGGGTTCCTTGGTGCAGTCCCGTTCTGCCCGCTTCTCGCTGTTTGTGCGCCAGATCCAACAACTTCGCCTTTGACTTGGCTTTTCAGCGCGACAGCCGTCCAACAGAGGTGGCAGACAGAGGCGCCATTTGGTTGACTGTGAACTTTCAGGGGTAAATCTACCAGTTGTTAAAGGTTGCGTTCAAATTGAAGTGCCAAGCATGATTGGATAGGACAATGTAGACATACATAAATAGACAAGGCCGACCCAAATTTCATGTTGCCTTTGAGGCCCCTGGGTAGATTGAATCCACATGTTTGCTGTTGAAACTCACATGTTTGTTGTTAAAACATCATTTTTGTTTGTGAAAAAACCTCAGCTAATTATGTAAAACCGCATTTCTGCCTGGTGTTATTTGCCAAAAAACATGTTGTTGATGAGGTCAGGTTTCACCATGTTGGTCAAACTCCATCTTTCGTTACTTCAAAATCCATGGCTTCTCCCACGTCAGCAAGGTGGTCAACGATTGTGCCTGACCTTCGAGGATGGTGATTTCGAGCCATGGGCTGAGCATCGAGATCTTATCATTATGGGAAACTGGTTGGTGGCTTGGAACATTTTCTATTTTCCATAATATATGGATAATCCTTCCCATTGACTAGCTGTATTTATATTTATATATATATTTATATTTATATATATTTATAAATATATTTATAGATATTTATATATATATATTATATATTTATATATATATATTTATATATATATATTTATATTTATATTAGCTATATATACTGGTTGGTGGTTTGGAACATTTTTTATTTTCCCCAAAACTATTGGGGATGATGATCCAATCTGACTCATATTTTTCAGGGGGGTTGAAACCACCAATTAGATTTGTTTCAACTATTCCATGTGGATTACTATGATAATCTTGGGAGATTGATATCATATTGATACATTAGATGTGGCGCATCCCGAATCAATCTCAATTTGGTATCGCTTATACATAATTAGATATATATGTATATATACACAGGTTGAACTCACTCTCCAGTACTTTAACCTAATTACCCCATACTTTCCCATAGTTGGGATGCTCATGGATTTTCCAGCCAGCCATGCTAAGTTACCAGAGGGTAGGATTATCCATTCTAGAAGATAATCCTTGGAATTGCTTCCAAAAAAAGTCGGCACAACGTTTAAAAAATGAGGAGATTGGGTGATGTTGTTGTCATTTGGAGGGTGTTGTGGTTTAGTTCTAGTACCTTTTATTCCCCGTTATGGATCGTTGCGGGATACCATTCCTGATACCATTCCTTCTAGTCAAGAATCGATACTGCCATGCTGTCCATACCATTGTTCCCCCCAACGTTAATATTCTTATGCTACCGTATTGGGATTACTATGATATAGATTAATGATGATTAAGATAGGGGAAATGGATTAGTCCACAATCTGCTTATTTTGAAAATACATTGTTCATCATGATTTGTAGCACCACACAATTCATTCCTCCTATATAGTGTGAAAAAAAAACACGCAAACCTTGGCCGAGAATTGGATCTTGATTTTGAGGACCCATTTTTTCGAGCGAAAGTCAAAGTAGGTGGAAGGATAGCTTTCACATGGGGATACACAGCACAAGCGACCACGCATTCACCTTAGGGCGCAAGAACTGCTGGAACGGATTTACCCTGCCTAACACTTGACAAAAGAATCAGGTTAATGGTGGTTTGGGTGTGTTTTCGAAGATGAAGAGGTTTTTCAGATACCATTAAATTTCATGGATAAGTATCATGGATAAAAATTAACCGCATATTCACGTGTTTATTTTGGTGCTTTTTGACAAACAGGGGTTGGTAACTGTCCCATTTTGGGAATATTGGACATCACCTTCTAGTAGCCATTATAGACCATATACCTAATGGTTGGGTGATGTTCAATGGGGACATTTAATGACCCATGACAAACCTCCCTTTTTTGCGGGCCCAAGCTTCGTGTCATCGCCTCAGGTTGGAGTCCAAGGGCATCCCTGGGCGGAGGCATCAGGGTTTTTGTCGGGGAAAATGTGTTGTTTTTTAACGTTTTTCAACGTTTGCACCACTCATTCATCCAATTCGAAACCAGATACTTAAATTATATTAGTATAACCCATGGTCCCTCAATATAACGTATATATATATATAATTTTACAATATTATACATATATCACATATGATATATATCATAATCATAACCCTTCCGTCAACCAGAAAACCTGTTAAAGGTTGGTCTGACTAAGCGATTTTCAGCTCCAGGTTGCGGCACCTGGCCGAGGATTGCGGCCTGGAGATCGAAGGCCTTGAGGCGTGGCCATATGGATGTCGCAATAATTATAGAAGTTATGTATATATATATGGGTAAATTATAACGACCTCACTGCGACCTCACTGGAATCATGGCTACTAAGGGAAATCATCCCCAAATGGCCTCAATTCAGGTTAGTGAAATATTATAATTTACCCAGATTTATATATAGTGGTTGGTGGTTTGGAACATTTGTTATTTTCCCCAATAGTTGGGATGATGATCCAATCTGACTCATATTTTCAGGGGGGTTGAAACCACCAATTAGTATATAGCCGCTAATAAAAGTTAGAGACGGCTAATATATGTTAATATAACTGTAAATGTAATAATCGTTTGTCAAGTAATGATCTCGATATCCAAACTTGGGGATAATTATGGAGTTATGACCATGGTAGCTTTACCCATGAAACCCCAAATGCACCCCTACAAGCAGGATTTACAGTCAATGTGTCTCGACATCGTTCAAGAACCTTACACGGCATGTGCGACTGAACTATGCACCCACAGCAAAGTAGGAGGAAGCATGAGGAAGTTGATGTTTTTTCCGCTATTGGGGAGGTTGACAACAACAGGAGCGTTGGGAATTGTTCACTATAGCACTATTTCAACCAACATTAGTGATAAGTGATATATATATAGTTTTTACGCTTCAAAACTTGGGCGCTTTACCATGTTGCAACCAAGCAATTTTGGATTTCTGGAACTCCAGCTACATGTCGAGATTGCAGCACACAGAAACGTACCAGCACTTGAGATGAAAGTGGTTCCAATATCTCTTTATTATCCTCTGGTAAACTAACATAACTATGGAAAATCGCCATTTTATAGCTGGGTAAATCAACTATTTCGACTGGGCCATTTTCCAGTTCGCAAACTGTTAGTCATTACCAGAGGCTAATCCTCCATTTTCCTGTGGTTTTCCTATGGTTTTCCAACCAGGTATGTAGGATGATCACCCATTCAGAACTCAGGATGCCACTGACCGCATTCCCAGCAACAGGAGGCATCGTTGCTGCTGTTGCGCTTTGAATGTGCCATTCGTTCCTTGCCCTTTGCCGTTTTGCTGGATCGGTCCCTTGGTCGCCTTGGTTACCTGCGGTTACCTTGGCAAACCCATATGATGCCGGTTGTATTTTCCACTTCCAGCGCTTGGGATGGTAAACATGTGGTGATGTATGACATCTAAATCATCTAAACTTAAATTGAAGTGCTAGATATTGATATACATCAGTTGACGCGTGATATATTCTAACCATGTCTAAACCTATCCATTTCTTCCCAGTGAGAAGTGGTAACAGCTGAGGCAAGAACTCTCCACCTGTTTGTTGGCGGTGGCGCTTTGGGATGTGTTGCCTCATTCGGAGCCGAGCCCCGCAACGGGACATGCGCTTGGAACATGTTGTCCTGTCTCCTTTTCAGGATGGACCCCAAGAATTCGCAAAAAAGACCTCGCGTTCGATGGGGAAATTCGGACTGTTTCGGGATGTTTTGAGGATCACCAGGTTCAGAAAACACCCGGAGTTTCTGGACATTGGGAAGTGATGTTCACCTTTGAGCAGATCAAATTTTGCATCATAGTCTATAGTTCGTAGCAGTAAGACCTGAGGACCAGTTACGAAATGATCCTGGGATTGGAATGACGGAGGCACCCCTGAAGCAACATGAAGTCCATATGGATCCGCACAAATCATCTTCCAGGCCCTATGCTTTTTATCAGTTTCCGGGTTGGCATTTACCTCCATGGATGCATTTCCCACGTTCCTTGATTTTGGTTGCTTAAAATCCCCATTCCATCCCTTTCCAATCATCGCCGTGATCCATATTTGTTGCTAAAAAGATCTGCATTTCAGGAATAAAAGATCCCAAGTTTCGATATATCTGCTCGTGAGATGGGCCAGTCCTGCTTTTTCCCAGGAGTTACGACGAGAACTGCGCCACTGGGGGCTTGCCAACGGAGGGACCCAGAAGACAGGTGGGAGCCATGCCTCCCTTGAAGGACTAAGGACTAAGGCAATCTTGGCTTTAAAAAAATGGTTTGCTCAAGGTAATCTTGATTTTCCTAATGAGGAATCTGCGGGAGATATCGGGGGATTTGTAGATCTTGGTTGAATACCCGAAAATATCCTGGTTGATCAGCATTCTTCCCATTTGAATAGCAATCTTTTTGCCCTATAATTATGAACCATTCATGTCTCGGAAACACAAATCCAGACCAACGTTAATTCGCTGGTTATTTCCTGTTACCCTCTGGTAAACTAACATAGCTATGGAAAATCACCATTTTTAATGGGAAAACTCACTATAAATTGCCATTTTCAATAGCTATGTTAGTTTACCAGAGGGTATTTCCCCATTTTTCATGGTGAAAAGTTCGTTATATCCAAACAGAGCAAGCTCCGCCAGGTCAGACGACCCAACTGGTGGATGCCTTATGGACCTCGCTGGCCGAGGTTTTCAGCCGCTGGGGGGGTTCCCCCTTCGCCCTTTGAGGTCAAAAAAAGCGAAGTTTAGCTGCGAATTATACAATTGGTGCCACATGTTACAGATAGCTACTACTAATACTACTAATAGTTACTAATAACTAACTAATAACAATCAATGACAATGTTACAATGTTTAAATATTAGGACGTTCTGATTTGGGTTTAATAGTTTTTTTCAAAAAATGCGGCAGTCTTTCAAGTAGCCATCGAGAAAAGGGCTGGGTTCTATTCAAAGTCACCGTTGTTTTGCAAGACACCTTGTTCATTGGTTTTCCTGTGACTGGGGCGGCCCTTTCCATTTCTATCTTTCAGGGTTCTGCATGCAGGACCTGCGGTAGATCCCAACTTGCACATACTTGCACCCCTCTTCAAGTCATTTCAGGTCCTCCCAGGAACTGGAAGCATCAAGAATTTGAGTAAAAAGAAGCACTTGCCCAGTTTTCATCTACTCGGCACCTGAGGCCACACAACATGTTTTTTCAGAATAAAATCAAGAGATAGGCCCTTGGGTAACGTCAGCCATGGCTAGGCACGGCGTGTTCCAGTTCGGCGCTTTGCACCACACGTGGGTTTGGCTTTGGTTGGAAAGGCGCGGCCATACCTTGCCGAAGATGAGTGTGCTGGGTAATGGAGTACACAAAAACCATGTGCATGGGGAAGATGAAGTTTTGAACCATGAATAACCATGATTTCTTGTATTTTCCCCAGGATATTTAGAGAAAACACATGAAAACCCTATGCTTACTTTGATGGACCCTACCAGATTCAGCGCTGCTGCGTGGCTGGCGTCAGGCCGTACGTTTGGAGGCGTCTTGCAGCCAACTGGCAGCGGGCTCAGGACACTCCTTCGTAAGTGGTAACAACAAAACCATGCAAAACCCAGCAAGAACTGGAACACTGAGACATACTGAGACTGATGCCCAAGGGGACGGTGTGAGTTTCCTACAATTTTTCAGCGAGCGACAGCTTCCTAGGTTGAGGGCGAATATCGCAGAACCATGAGGCACGGGGCAGGGCCTGGCCAGGGCGAATATCGCTGCCGCAGTGCCCGTGGAAATGCGGTTTTTGAATGTTTTTGGTTCCTTGAGTCGGACCCACTAATATAATCTGACAGTCACATCCGAGGCTTGGGTTTGTCCTTAGCATTGTGATCTGAGATCTTGGCAGTGAACACCACCTGACAAAAGTGCACATTGACATGAAACAAGCCGAGAATGCCAATTTTACATGTTGAGAAGTTGAAAGTTCATCATGCAAATTATTTGGAAAAGCTTTTGTGCCCCAGGCAAGACTGAAAATATCCACTACCCAGCTACTGGATGTTTTGGAGATATGGCGGGCTGAGGAAGAGAATTAAAAAAATGGCTCGTCCCGGTTAGTTTGGCTCTCACGATTTTTTAAAGACATCCACCCTTTGATAATTTAAGACAATTTAACATGCTGCTTTCCGAAATCCATCGTTTTTTTTGTGATTTCCAGCAAGCCAGCTAAAAAAATCCTGGAGGCGATCCCGCATATTCAAGAAAAACCAACACACACATTTCCATAGTTAAATCATGTTACTGTAAATCGCAACTTTTTGCTAGTTAAATCACCGCTTCAATTCCTGGAGGGTACCCATGCAACGGATTTCACATGCCGCATCCACCTAAGGCGCCTGGGCTTACCGGCAGATGCACCGCCGCAGTCAGGGCACCCGTGGCTGGTGATGGTAAACATAGCACCCATAAGAATGGTGACTTGGGGATCGTACCGCATCATATGTCATCATATATGATTGTGATTATAACATATATATATACGTGTATATATATATACATATGGTTATGCTTTAAGTGGAATAAGGGCCCCAAATGCTTAAACTAAGGTAAGATTTTGTTATATTGATGATAAACCTGGATCGGAATTATGGCTGTGTTGGGGGCCACCATTCATGAACTGGCAGTGGGTTCAAGCATTTGTTTGACCATTAAGTTTGTGACAAGCCACTGCTGTAGCTGAAGACGATGCGGCTGGGTTGCGACATGTTGCGACTGGGTAGTTGTGTTCAATCGATGTTGTCGCATTTCTTCATTGCTTGGTGGCAAGCTGAACAGTGATGAATATCTCCATGATATCCATAATTTTTGATTAACCTGAGTTAATGTTGGTATGACCTCCCCTAGTGTAAGTTGCCATAAGACAAGCAATGTCCGGTTGCGGTATCCAACTCCAAGTTGGCTCCCTTGGCAGAGAGGTCTCACATCCAGTGCATCATGCTGGCGCTGGTTCTGGAGGTCTCCCACCCGGTTTAATACGCAGCAATATGGTGATGGGTCAAAATTTTCCTTAAAATCGCTGGTGAATGGATTTTTATTCCCCCAAGGATGGTAATAATAGGTTTTGACGCATCCTCATATCAAAAGTGGCTTCCCAAGAATTTGGTAGTCGTTACGTTCTGGAGCATCCAGTTCTGCATCAAAAATGCGATGGAGTCCACCGATTTGTCAGCGATTTGTTTGGTTGGAATATATATATATATAGGTTACAGTTGTATAGTGGGTTATATGTTTTTTAATCGACGAATATAATATATATATATATTATACATATATATATATATACAATATGAGTACAATATATACATAATATAATATATACGAACCAGCAAAAAAATAGAAAAACTGCTGTTTTGCAGTCTGGAAGTAGGATCTTCCAGCATCAGGAAGCCAGCATGATGCAGCTCAAGGAAGAATGCTGGGACCCCGTCATTAACGGCAACTGGCCAGGTTGGGGTGACAAAAATACGGGTTGGAATTCGTTCAAGAAAACATCCGGGTAACCCGGGTATCATTATATTTGGGATGATTGAATCCGTCCTATCACCTCAGCCTCCCATTCTTTTGCACCTCACAAGATTGAAACACACTGAAACTAAGGAAGTGTAACTAGCAGTGTTGCAGAGTGGTCAGAGGCATACATGGCCGTGTCACAAGACCCCAATAAGCAAGTTATGGCATTGAAGATATTGAAGGGTTGTCTTGCTGGTGACCCCTGTGTGGGTCATGGCCCTTTGTCCCCAAAGAGGTCCTATATCTTAAACCAAGCCTTGTCCATCCGGAACCCATGGCCTGCTTGGTGCAGGCGTGTCACTCATGACCATGGGATGCCATGGGATTCTTACCGCCACAAGGTTTGGATATGGGGCCCCACGTAGCTGTGGTGAGATATATCCAAGTGTAGTTGAAAACTGCACACACACACACACCAGGTGAGCTATATGCTACATTCATGGTTCACCTTGGATATGGCAGAAACGAGCCAGCAACAAAATAAAACCAAGCTTTGTCCGGTATTTGGCTCAGGCTTGCTGTCGATGGCTGTTTGGTATCCAGCAAAAAAAAACTTGAGTTTCAGAGAAAACTGAAAACGAGCATGAAATGGGTAGGTTCTTGAGGTCAAAGCCATGTTGAGATGGCCACCCATAGCCCAGTGTTCCATAAAGAACATAAAGAACTCCCTTGGTGTCCGGATGTTCATCGAGACCGGCCCCAGCCATGCGCATCCGCATAGCGACTGGCAGCTGCTGGGTCGATTTGGGGCGCCCTCGAAACTCCAATGTATCTGGGCTGGGGAGTCGGGGCGTACCTAGAGCAAACTGTTCAAGTACCACAGAGCCTGCCACAGGGTAGTAAGTTTCAAGTCAGCCGGCCAGGCTGTAATGACATCACGGCAATGTCACCATCAACGATTTTTGGCCGTTGTTGGCCATGAATGTTGGCGGTGAGGGGCTAAACTGGTTTGATGCAAGGTTGTAAATGTGCTATTGGTATATATTTTCCCAAATCTTGGTGTTTGTTGCTCTCAGCTATTATCAACTGTGGAAATCACCAAGCAATATGGTTTCAAGCGGGGGCCCGAGACAAAGCCACAAAAATTGCCAAGATGGGAATTGAAGGAACCAAATGCGTGACTTTGGCTTCCAGTAGCTGTAGCTGGGTTGCAAGCAGTTCGAAAACCTGGCAAATTAATGCAAATTATGGGTGTTGAAACCATAAATCATGGATTCGTTTCGGGGCTAGCGGCTAGAAGCTGAATGGATAACAAATGGTGCAGAAAGTTGAAACACAAGTCAGCATGGTTTCAAAATGGGGCCCCAAAACCAATGTGGCATTGATTTCCGGATAGTTCAAGTAGATGGGTGTACGGTGTATATAACATGATGCAACCAGTTTGAAACTCTGGAGTCAGGCATGTTCTTCACAGCGGTTTGCTTTGCTGTCCGCTGGGTTCTTGCCACGGCAACGGCCTTTGAGCTCAAAGATGCGGCACATGAACCTGCAACCCCTCCAACGTTTTCCATCCAGAAGGTCCTGAGCTATTTGCAGAAAAAACTGGATAAAGGACTTCCCCCTTACGCAGATGATGCGACCATCAATGCGTATTGCAACCTTTCGCAGCCAGATTGGCTGCAGCTGCGCTTTTCGGGCTGGCAAAATGATCGCTGCGTCATCCTCATGGGGGGAGCCGAGGGGTACACCAACCAGATCCTCTCAACCCTGAGAGCCAAAGAGTTTCTGCACCCACGGATCCTGATGCTGTTGCCCATCCGATCGGAACACGCAGTGGAAGCGGAGTGCTTGTGCAAGGCCCCTTAAAAAAGGAACGAGAGAACACCGATTTCAACAATGCATGATTCCAATATACGGGTACAAATAGCGAATAGATGACTGACCGGTATGATCATAAATCAAGGCCCGGTCATCAGGGACACGCAAGTCCCGTTAGCATTTGTAAGCATCCTTAAAGCATTTTACCTGACGTCAGAATCACTTTCAGACACCCAAAAATGGCAGGTGCTGGTCATGGATGGGCTGGCGTGCCTTCAAAAAGATGCCCTTCGGGTGGATGACCGCGATGAAATCATCCAGAAGATGACTTGCCGCTTCTTTCCCTCAGAGCAGGGTGCCCTGCAGGGAAAAGGCCTTGGAAACTGGTACGCTTATTGGAAATTCCAACATCCGGAAAGCTTTCAGTCTATACCCAAAGTGCCTCAGCTGTCGATGACATTGATCCCAAGTTCAAAAGCCAGAATCGTTTTTTCATGTTCCATCAGACGTTGGCCAGCAACCTCCTTTCAGCCATGTTAGACGTCTCTGACCGTGTCCAGGTTGGCTTTGACCCAAAGAAACCAGATCACAATTGCATGATTACCCGAACGACTTCTGGATCGCTGTGGCATTATTGGCCAGATCCATTGCAGCTGCGGAAGGATCGAACATTTGCTTCCAGCGCGGCCTTAAAGTCAGGGGATGCTGCTGATAGCCAATAAACCCTCCCCAAAAAGAAAGGGATCCAAAGGCCAGGTAGAGACAGCTGAAATTTCCAATCGAATCTTCGGAGGAAACAGGTCAAAAGCTGGCCCAGTCCCCTTGCATTTCCTCCTGATATTTTACGATATTTTACGTATTGATCGTACTGTAATTGTCACCTCAGATATGGCCTTAAGAAGGGAGGATGCAGGTAGATTCGCATCTGAATAATTATTCTCATTTTCGCTCCAACAATCCAAGAAGTGGGTCACCCGTTCCCTGATGTTCACTGGGTAAACCTCGAGGTAAATATCTGATCATCCAAAATCAACGGTGTCTTTTGCGTTTTTTTTCCGGTTGTTGGGGTGTCCCACTTTTAAAAAAAGAAAAACTGACCCTTCGGTTTATGCCAGGAATACACGGATCTTTTCGCCCAGATCCGCTGGGACCTCTTCCAACAGAAGCCGTACTTTGCCATTCACTGGCGGCGGGGCGATCAACTCCTCACCAAATGCAAGGCGGGCTTCGAGTATTAAACCCACGCAATTTTGGGCGTACCCAGTCTTGAGCCAGAACCAAAAATGTCTGGATCATTCTCGAACTGTTGTAAGTTTACTTCATGAGCCATCATGAGCCAACCTGCAGCCAGGTGCTAGGACAAGGAGAAAGAATCTAACTAACGGCTCAAATTTTGGTTGATACCTTCCAAAAACTCCGGGATACCAAAACATGCCAAATTCAAAAGCATCCAAATTTTGGATCTTCCGGAGCCCTTTGTAGCGCCGTTGTGTTCTGCCGAGGCGAAGTTTGACAAATCGGTGAACTGCCAAAACGTCCAAGACCTGCGGGCGGAGATTGCGAAGCACCTTGGGGATGCCCAGGAGTGGTCGGTCTATGTCGCCACCAACGAGAAGGACCTGCCGTTTTTTAGGGATGATTCGAAAAGAAAAAGCATCAAAAAACTCAGATATAATGCATGATATACGTAGCTATATTTGCTATTGATATTGGAATGAAATCCAAGAATTATTTTACTTATGGCTATTGATGCAAGATTGATCCAATATTGGAGAACCTCAACTCTTGCAGTTGAGCCATGTTGAGCCCAATTTTGTCACCTTACAGTAAGATACCATCCCAGTCCCTTTGCTGCTACTTTTGTGGACCCAGGACCCCACTACACTGGCAGAGATGAGAGCGTTGGGCTTCCAGTTTCGTGCAGGTGATGCCGGGGTTCACTTTGTCGCGACACCCTTGGGTACTCAGCTAAGCATAGCTAAGCTATATACATGGCTGGCTAGGAAATCCCCAAAATGGAGGTTTCTAGCTGGGAAAATCATAGAGAGGCATGAGGGTGTTTTTTTCCGCAAGCCATGTGTGTGTGTGTGTGAAACGTCTGCACAGACGTAAAACTTCGGTCGTGACTCATCGTATTATATGTTATGTTATATTATATTATATTATATTCTATTATATTTTACCTAGAAGCAGGGGGCCACCGGGGTCCCGGGGGGGTCGGTGGCCAACGAAGACACCCCCCGGGACACGTGTAAACGTACCTGCTTGCAGTGGCCCGACAGTCCCTGGGCGCCGTCGTGCGCAGCTGGGATGTCACTTTGAACGCATCGCGGACAGTCCATGGGTGCCAGCGTGCACAGCTTGGATGTCCAACCTCACGGTTTAATAATTATATATATATACGTAACTAATATCTAGGTGCACGTTCAAGGACTCAGTTCCTGATGGATCTCTTAAAAGATCCATTCTTGTCTAGTGTGAGGTGTTGTATTGATTTATATTGCATGTTTCTCTTCAAAATGGAATGAGATCCACTTCCAACAGGGTTTTATGATTTTTGGGTGATTTGAAAATTGGAGACCCCCAAGCTTCATGGTTTCTCATCATTTTTCAGTACTTCTCAAAAGAGCGAAAATGGGGAAGACACACCATGTTGACGAAGATGGCACAGCAGCAGGTGACAACTACAATCTCTCTTCCTTGGAATCGTTCTTCGCAGATGTTTACCTCTTCGGTTGTGCCACCAAAGCTGTGCTGCCGGCAGACACTTGAATCGGCAATTTGCAAGTCGTTATTGGGTATTGTTTTTCCCGGAAGATCCAGCTATGACCGGGGAATCTACTGGGTGGTCAAACAATAATAAACCACCCATGACTGGGAATGGTTTATACCACCAAAAAAAAATGGTGATGACTGGGCGATGGTAAACATGGCATATGGCATTGTTTTACTCACACTGCTGGGAATTGGACTTGATTTTTGGAAAGCAAGTCCAAGGCTGCGAATACAATGGTCCAAACACTGATGGAAAGATGGCGAGCCCACAACATCCTGAGAGATGTTTGCGTGCACGGCGTGCCGCTGTCAAAAAGAGGATGCTGGAGATCGTAAATCACTATTCAGAATGATTCGCGTGGGATTTCAAGATTCTCTTGGTGACCCATGCCCGCTTCAACATGGACTTGCCAGTCAATTGATTCAAAAAAAAGTCCCCAAGTGATGGTGGTAGCATTACCTACAGTACGCTTGATCCCGAAAGCATTTTCTCATAGCAAATATGGGCTCACGACTCACAATATATCCCCCGGGAATGCACTTCAAGATTGTTGAACTCCGACACATAGACCCATCAAACCTATGTGTACATAATAAGAGTTACCCTCTGGTTATTAAACGTAGTTACGGACAATCACCATGTTTAAGTCCAGTAAATCAGCATAAATAATTAAACTAAATGGTCCATATCATATAGTTTCAATAGCCAGAGGGTAATTGCCATGAATTTCCAATTAACCACCCTAATGAATGGCAATTAATGGAAATTAATGGTGGTTTTGGTGCTGAATCCCGATGAACCACCATAAAATCCTGCTCCTCCGAGGTCGCTTTCTGAAGCTGGAGGCTGCCCCGGAGCAACAGATCAACATGGGGGGGCCAAGAAGCACCGGTAAAACATGGATGGTGAAGTTTACCAGTTTCAGAAGTTTGAGATCTTTCAAGATTGCTTATATAGTTGGTTTACTTCCCAGAAATCCCCCTAAACTTGAGTTTGAATTTTGACCCAACTATCCCTCGGATGGAGTGTATTTCATCAATGTTTGTTGAAATTTGTGATCTTCAAGCCATCCAGCAGGTGGATGGCTGTTGAGAGCAAGTGAAGCATTGATGAATTTCATTGAAGATTGATCTTTTCACCGCTGGTTAATGATCTATTATTGGTTGCCAAGCATTGTTAATAATCACCCTGTGGTTCAAGTTCATTGAAGTCTTCTCTTTACTTTGGTGCTTTGATTATGTTTGATTGATAGTTCTAGCATATTTGGGATGATCATTCAATTTGTAGAACAATTTGTTAACTATATCCATAGTTATACCGTCATCCCAAGGATCATCCAAGAATTGCTCGGTGGGGACGGCTCAACCACCAACCAGTTCATCAGTTTCTGCAACTGTGCCCGCAGGCGACCAACCGCTGGAGGCTTAGTTTGATGTCAACTTAGAGCCTGACCAAGCGCACCTTAGCCCAGGCTGAAATAGACTGAATGGTTGGATGAAATGGGGAAAAAGAGCAACCTAAAGACCCCTGAAAACCCCATTGGTGGTCTCAAATTTGTTTAATTTCATCTGATGCCCATGAAATTGTCATTGCAATGGGGAATGTGATGATAACAGGTTGGATTTTGATGGAGTTTCAGGGTTTTTACGGCATATACATGCATATACCCATATACATATACATATACTTACATATACATATACATATATATATATATGTGATTATATTATATATGATTATATTATATTTGATTATGTGTATATATATATACCACATGCGTATTTATTTATATATATACCTTGTATTTTCAGGCAAGCCCATTTCCGTTTTCTAACGGCACCAGCTGCCCGCACCCCCAGGGCCGGCACTTCAACAACACCTCTTCGTGGAAACCCTTTGCCGGCAACGTTGGGAGGTTGGGTGTGGCGGCGGAGGTCTTCCTATTTTGATATTGGAACCATTTCAGGAAGCCTCTAGATTTCCTGTGGGATTTCCATGGTACGGCGAATGGGGGCCTTGTTTAGTCTTTCTTTTTCTTGAAATTGATGGTCCCCTAAAATAGTGAGAATTGATGGTAATTGGCTACTCAAATTGGTACCCCAAAAAAATTTCATCGGCGTAGTCGTTTAATCCGGGGTGGACATTATCTGGCTTGCATTCTGGATATGTTTGGGTCACACATAGTGCAAGAAGGGCTAGCCCATCGGGAGAGAGATTAGATGTCCTATAAAATGCTCGTAGCATTGGGCATGTAGGAATAAACATACCATGTAAGGTACGTTTACCCATGCCAAGCTGGGCGATGTTTGGAGATGTGTTGGGTGATGAACATAGATAAGTTTGCCATGGATGATGTTGGTTGATCTGGAAACTATAATTACTTTTTCAACAGACTACACCAAAAATATAGACACGCAATGGAGATTCGAAGGGGATATTTATGGGCAGAAATACCAGAAATACAATAGTCATCAATAGTCAGCATATTATGATATTATGTCTCAACACCATTGCAAGAGAGAACCTTGTTTTTTTGAGAACCTATAATTTAATCTAATTTATTTGGATATATTTTGGATATATATATATATGATGGAAACATGTATAAACACATTTGAATCCTGTGAATGTCTTGTTGTATCCATCTTGTCGTCCTTCGTCACGCCTCAGCGCACCTATCATGGCTCGGTCACCTTTTTTAGGACGAAGGGCTTTCGGTCAGTCGCCTGGGCTATGAGGCAAAGCGGGGGCCAGCCATGGAGCAGAGTTTCCAGGTGCTAATAGTTTGTTGATGTTTGTTGGTTGGGTATTTTAGATGACTTTAATATACTTTAATTGATTTACCCTCTGGTAAACGTTTACATAGCGAACTGGAAAGATCCATCATTTTATAGCTGTGTAAATCCACTATTTCTATGGCCATTTTCCATGCCTATTTTGACATAACCAGAGGGTACATCATGGGTTTTTAATCGCTGTTGTTGGGTGATTCGATTTTCTGCAAGGATGATGGAAAATCTAATGTAATTCGTTGTTCCTTTGAAAAAAAAACGAACTTACCCTCTTGTTATTTAACATAGCCATGGAAAATCACCATGTTTAATAGGTAAACCATCTATAAATGGGCCATTTTCCATGGCTATGTTAAATAACCAGAAAGTAAATCAAATCTCCCAAATGATGGGTTAGTAGTGTGGTAAACACAGCGCCATAAACGACTACCATTTTGGGATGGTAATAAACTACCCATTTATGGTCATATTGGGGATGGTGCATTATCCATTCAATATGATATTGTTTTGCGGTGTGTAACCAACATCAACCATCATGAACCTACAACAGCCAAGAATAGATAATGTCTATTTTGACAATCATCAGAGGAAGAAGTGAAGATTTCAGACAGCAAACACTGGAGCAATAGGGTACGACATATGAATTATACGTACATATTATATATATATACATGCAAATTATATGTATATGTATATAAATAGATATATATATATATACACATCATTGTGTGTATGTGTGTGTATGTGTGAGTCTAGTATGTGGAGATGTGGGGCTCCTTCTAACTAGTTCCAAGCTAAGTGGTGCGATTGTGTGTATTTGATCATGGATATTTGATATGCACGTCCAATCCAGTGGAAAAAACCGTGGGATCTACAAGCAAGGGATTTGCTGCTTGTATTTTCGACCATTGGGATCCATTGGCTGCAGCTCCAGCAGAGGATTGGCAGGAAAATTTCCAGGTTACCCCCGTTCGGATGGAAAAAAATACTGTCAGGTTGCTTGGCAAAAAATGTGAAAAATACCATGAAGTCAACCTGACACCCAACTACTACAGTTGATACCGGGTTCTGGTCTTGGCGGCATCTTCATAAATACTCATTTTGACATTTGCAGCTTTGCCCGTGCTTTCAGCTTCACATCAAATTTGTATTCCCATTGTTCATTGCACAAACACCACCATTTGCTATCGTTTGCCAACATGTATTGGAGCCAAATTCTTGATCGATATGTGTTGCTCGAAATCCCTTGGCTCCATTATTATACTTAATATTTTCGATACATATGGATACTTAGACCCTCCAAGTACAGATAAAAGTAGCTCAAAGTACCAACTTACCACATCTTGGTGCTTATATTACTTTATGTTATCCCATTATCCATCACTATCCCATTATCATTCCATATTATCCATGATTATCCCATATTTTGCGGTACTTTAAGTGGCTTAACGGGTAACAAAAACGACATGACCACAGTTCTCGAACTCCTCCCCCGCTTCCGGCGGACGAAAAATGACATGGCCGCTATGGCGCTGGAAGACTTCTGCGAGACCAATGCCGTACCATGCGGCTCGGCGTTGATGCAAACTGATGGGTACATACATACATACCTACCTACCTACATACATACATTAATTACATACATACATACATTAATTACATACATACATTAATTACATACATACATTAATTACATACATACATACATACATACATACATATGTACATATGTACATATGTACATACGTACATACATACATATATATACATATATACATGCATACATACATACATACATGCATGCATGCATACATTCATACATTCATACATACATATGTTTATATTTATGTATATATATATACATATATATATATATATACATATGTATATATAAAGAGAGAGAGAGAGATATATATTGATATATTAATGTATAAGTATAGTGAATTTTACTGATAATCCAACTCCATTATCAGTCATTAGTATCCAATCAGATTAGAATATATCCTTTGATTAATGTCCCGTACTAATGATTTAGAATGATATACCCCAATGTCAATAATGATTAATGATGGGATATGTTTCCAATTCACCCAACTGATGGGTTAGATTGGATATATGATCAAGATTATGATTGGATGAATTGGATTATTTGTAGATAAGGTTACTAGACAGGAGTAGATTTTATTATCTGAGATGTGCATTTTGACATACATGACTCTGAAATATGTGAATTTTCGTCTTGGCGCCTCAAGGTGAAAGGCCCTACAAACCCCAATTTCTGAAAGATTGGCCGTTCAGATATAACGGGATTACCTAGTCGTAGGTGATGAAACTAAACAACAAATACTATCCAGAATCATCCAGACTTCCAGTAAACCAACATAGCTATGGCACATGGCCCATTTATCGATTTATCTATTGAAAACGATGATTTTCCATAGGAAATTCTTAAACTATCAGAGGGTAGGTAACTGGTTGTTTGTCATTGGAAAAGTACAGCCCTCCGGATGATCCAAGGCTGCCAGTTCGAATATTTTGGATCCAAAGAAGCTGGCCGTCCTCCGTTTGAAACCAACCATTGTTCGCGAAAATGTTCAGCATTTGAAGCTGTTTCTGATGTTTCTGTTGTTTCAGCTGATCAAACCGTCAAGTCCTCATCATGCCATCGTAGGAAGATTGAAATCTATTGACATGTTGATTCTGTATTCTGATGCTACTACACATCGCCATCGTTGTTGGTGAAATGTCGTGTCAACGGGGACAGCGGTGAACACCTGCCCATCTCTAGCTGGGTGGCAGAAATCCTGCACTATGTTGGATGGTTGAAAGCCCCATGAATAATGGGATAAACCACCTATCAAATGGTGCAGGATGTCTTCCATCCACAGTAGCCAGAGGTCAAGAATATCGTTTCCGCTTCTTTACCTTCAACTTGGCCAATAGCATCTCGACGGGTTTTGGGAGATTTCTCCAGGATCAAGGGGGGGCCCAGGGATGAGGATCGGTGCTTCGAAATACATTGGATTCTCATCATTTTCCGTATTCAATTGCCACAATAAATGGATAGAAATATGTGGAAGTCGATTTCCCATCCCTACAGAAACCCATATGAATTTGGGGATCAAGATCGGGCTGCCCCGGGCCCTTGGGCCCCTTGGATTAATTGCTGTTAATCACAAATTACAGCCAAAGTTGCTCGGGGTATCCCCATGTGACTCATGCATCTGATGAGTTTATCACAAGTCAAGACCGTTGGTAGAGCACCAGCCCAGGCTCAAGCTTGAGACTGGAAGACATCCAAGGAGCTGGGGAGCTGGAGGTATACATTCCCCCTGCCAAGATGTAATACAATGTAATACAATAGCTATCATCATTAGATATCAATAGCTTAGACTTTCAGAAATGGGATTTAGATAGATTTAAGGGACCCAAAGGTCTTCGGCATTGAGCTCCCCTGGTTTCAGTTGTTGTCCGTGTTGGGCGAAAACAGCCGTTTTGGTTTGTGAATCTCGCCATTCTTGGCTGGCTAAAGTGATGACCCCCGTGTGCCCGAAAAAAGCATCCGGGCACCAAAGGACTTGCTGGAGAATCCTTGTTACTGAGCCTCACTCGGGAACAGGACCCGCACGGTGCAGCACTTGGTGAGTCTGTGTGAGCTGAAGCAATCCCTCAGATGGCTAAGGCCCAAGGGTCCCAAGCAAAAGTTTCTTAAAAAATCCAAAGGGATCCAAAGGGTTAAGCTTTGCAGAAAGACCTTGGTTATCTTTATACTGTCTAAAATTGTGTGAAACAGAGCCACGGCAAGAAAGTGTGACTCAATCCCAATGAATTCTGCAGGGGTGCCATTCGAGTCTCAGAAGCTTGCTGCATCTTGACACGGGCGCTTCTGGAAGATCTCCTATTGCTATTTTCCAGAGGTTGAGGCCAGCAATTTTGAGTTGATCAAGGTGCCCTGAGTCCCCTGAACAAGGTCCCCTGTTCCAAGATCTCAGCCCTTGTGACCGCAGGAGGGTGCCGAACCTGACATCCTTTTCATCTCTTTTCCAGAGCTTCCGCTGCAAAAAATCACCAATGGCATCCCAGGGGCATCCAGGTGATTCAAAAAAGTGGTCACCAGGTCTGAAAGGGCAATGGTGGGGTATCCCCCGGTTTGGGATAACCCATGGGCATCATGTATGGATACTGATGACAACCCCCAGTCTAGCTTCACCCATCCATGTGATCCCGTGAGAGCGAATGTTCATTAGTAAAAAGCTGGGCCCCACCAGTTGCTGTTACAAGTTGGTTTGTAAACACCATTAGCATCCATTAGCTGATATGAACTGCAGTGATATTCCCCCTAAACCCTAGTTAAACAGAGTTATAAATCAGCTTCGCTATTTTTGGGCGCACCACGTGGTTTCCCGTAGATTTCCATCATCCCTTGACGCCCCAGGAGAGTTGCTTGGATCCCCAGCAGCTGCAGCAGTACCTCCAGCAGCTCTTGCCCCGCTACAGCGTGAAAAGCCACAGCGCAGTGGTGGAGGCAGGAAAGATGGTCAACAAGGCGGGCAAGCGAGGTGGAAGACTGATGGCTGGGATATGTACTACATGGAGGAAGATGCTATATTATATATATATATATTATATCATAGCTGAATATCATGGGTTTTTGGGGAAGGGTGCCAAAGATGTACAATGTTTTGAGAATGGAAAAATGGGATGTTAAATGAGGTGCAAACGTTTCGCAGTAAAGCTCTCGAGCAGTTGGGGTCATTTTCGGCAAGCAGATGGGCTCCCAAAAGTCACCAAAGCATTCCTTTGTGGGAGCACCCAATGTGGATTCTTAGGTGCACCAGGTATACCTATGGTCTATTACATCTCAAGCCCAGGTTTACTACTATGGTTTACTATGGTTTACTACCAGGTTTACTATGGTTTACTACATCTCAGTTCTCTCCCCAGGTAATTTTCCTGATCTTTAAGCCGGCCTTCCAATCCCAATTTGTCCATTCTCTTCGGATAGGCAAAATAGATCAAAATAGGTAAATACCTCACCAGGTTTGCTAGAGTCTAGAGATGTCTAGGGTATCTCCCCATGGTATTGCTGATGTTCCCAGTATATATATATGTATATATTTATTTATATATATCCCATTCTATTCCATTAATTTCCCATGAAATCCCTATGTTTCACACTCTCAAGTTGACAGTTTCTAGAATGGTCAGACCGGTATTTTAGAACTTTCTGGACCTATCATTGTAGAAGTGTTAAAGTTTGCACATACACACACATACATATATGTATATGTATATATATTATAGTATCATCCCATGTTATGGTTTTCATGGTATAGAATCCACCTAGCTGGACCATGTCCCCCATGTTTCGTTGCTCAGGTCAAAGGCCTTCTGGAAGACCTGGCGGCGAAACACAGCGGCGACATGCAGACGCACCTGGCGTTTCATCGCAGCCGGTGCCGTGGCCCCAAGGATGACTAGAAATTGGTGATTTTTTCATCCCCAACCGGAGGTTGATGATCGGGTTGACCGCAGGGTGTAGTGCTAGCATCGTGAATGAAAAAAAAATGGGTTAGAGTCGGTTAGAGTATCAAACTGGGAGACAGCGATGATGGGGGTATGATTGGTATGCTGGTATGCCCTTAAGGCCCTTTGGTAATCAATCGTGGCAATGGAAAAACCCGGAACTAAGTCGAGGTTTGAATAGGAATGATTCCTATTATCCATATATAAATGATGGATGCTCGATTGCTGCGTTTGATTACCAGAGGTTATAGCCACTTAAAATGGATGATGTTTGCATTAAACATAGGTTTTGAATGGTATCAAACCAAGTAGTTTATGGTGACGCGACGTCATGGGATATAAAACCAATATATAATTATATAATGGATAAGCAGCATGAAGACAGGACCGACAATAACTGGGGATATGATTGGGGTATAGTGGGATATAGCATATGATATGGGGTATTTACCGCAACTATATGGCAAGGTTTGAATAGAAAGAGAGAGAATGATGAGGAAGCATCAAGTATTTAGGGGTACCCGCGGGTACCCTATTTTCAGGTGGCAAAACCAAATAAAAGACAGGAGCATCCGAGGGTTGAGGATGTCACCAGTGGGGCTGACCAAGGTTTCAAGAGGATTCTGATGGAAGTTTCGGACTGTTGACAGCCGCCCGGCTATGGGGGCCGCCATCGGACTTTGTGGAGCTAAAGTTGGGATGGTGCAGGTATGCAGAACCAGTTTCAATTTATTCCGGGAGTCAAACGTGGCAATGAAAAAATCCCCATTTATACCTTCTGGTAAACTAACATAGCTATGGAAAATCACTATTTTTAATGGGTAAATCCACTACAAATGGCCATGTTCAATAGCTATGTTGACATAACCAGAGGGTAGATGTTTTTTCACATTAGAAAGGGATGTTCCATGGCCGCGTTTGATTGCCAGAGGGTATCCTCTGACTAATTCCAATTACTGTAGATCTATTTGGCACATAGTTTGAAGAGCCAAGCATCACTGGGTAGATGAAGAGAACAACTGGCCAAATGACATGGACAAAAACTGGAGGACGCCACTAATGCCTTTCATCACCCTATTTTGAAAAGCAAGATGGACTAATGCAGTGGTTTGATTTGGGGGGCCTCATTTTTTCTTGCCACCAAAATTCCAGATTGTTTCTCCCCACGGGTAAACCAAATTAAGATGCACCAAGCACCACATCCTTGTCCTACTTGGATGTGCATCGCATTTTCTAACTTGCTAACAATACAATATTATTATATAATATAATATTATATATATGCATCAAATATTCATGTTGTAATCCACTTATCGGATAAAAACATATCAAAACCCTCTAGTTATAACACGCTATGGTTATAGTCGTAACCCCAAAAGAGATAGAAGTTCATAAGATCCTACTAAAATAGTGATACATCATTACTTTTCGATCTGTTTGGGGATTGGTGGATGAATCACACAGCTGTGCCAAGGATTTGACGCTGGCGGGCGTGCGGGTCCCCAATCCCAAGAAGTCCTTCCTGGGACGCAGTTTGTGCGCACCAGGCACCCGGCCGGGCAGGGAAATCCGGCCGGGCCGCCATGGAGGTCTAAATGGTAAAATCATCGAACTAAACGGGCTATAAACAGAGGTTTCTAGCATCATTGAACTATATATATATGTGTGTGTGTGTGTTTAATGGGGCGGATGTTCCAGCCATGTTTGATTACTAGAGCATACACCAAACCTTCATGTTCATGCTAAAAAACGAGAGGTTTGCTGGGTATTTGTGTCAAATTAGCCATTGAACGGTGATGTCACAAAATTGAATTTAGATTGAACTTAACATTGAACAGTGTTATTGGATCAACAAAAATTGCTTGGCCACAAGTGCAAAATTCTTTGACTGAGACTTGCCATGCTTCAGGTTTCTCTTCAACTTAGTCCTTGTTTTGACAGCTTTTTTTTGGGGCCGCCCAAAAAACGGATGGCCAATTCTCAAAACTGACCCAGTTGTGGGTCCCCAACTCGCGCGTGTCAAGCGGCCTGCGGAGCTGCGGTTCGCGCAGGTGGGCTTCGGTTCTGTCTCATTGGAGCACACTTTCCCATCAGTCAATTGGTTTGGGCCCCAGAAACGGTGACAGAAAAGCTGCATCTCCGCAACGAGTTCGTGGTTCCGAAAAAAGGCTCATTGTTCCGATTGTCATTCATCATGACTTCGGATGTGATCCACCTCTTAACGCATTGTAAATATATAGAATGTGTATATATATATATATATATTTATATCTATATATCTTATATATATGTGTGTGTGTCTGATGTATTACACTATTATATTATATGTATATATAAATGCATATCTATACAATTATATATATATATATCCCTCTCTATTGTAGCTGCGGCTGCGGGAAGCCCACGCTGCACGCCCCCCACTGGCCAGGCTGCCATTTTGGACGCAGAAGAATCGGCGCAGAAACTTGGCACAATTGGTTCCTTGGGTGATTGGTTCCTGCGGCGCGTTCAAATGGAATTATATATTCAAAAAAAAAAAGATTTGTCTGACCCAATTGACAGCTGATGGTTGGGATCAATACTCTTGTTTTTGAATGTCTTTTTGCAGCCTGCAAGGGCGATAAATCAAAAAAGTTTTGAGTGGAAATCATTGCGGACCATCAATCGCAGTTCATGAAGGGTTCATCACATGACCTACTGAGATGGCAAAGGTTGCAAGCAGCGTTCACGAGTGAAGCCTCAACTTGCAAGATGATACTGCTGATTCTATTTGGCGTTGATATTCCGTTGTTTCAAGTTGCAAAACCTAAACATCCTAAACAGTATGATCTTCTTGAATTTTTCTGTTCAAAGTTACTGTAAGATGTTTAGGTTTGGACACCCGGAGTGATGCTCCGAAAGCTCTTCGGGTTGTGAGAAAACACCGCCGGTGAAACCCTCCTGGGATGCCATGGTGACTGACGAGCGCTTTCCCGAGCGCGTGATCTTCCTGGATGTGGATGGAGTGCCATCCTCGGCATCCCAAGTCGCCCAAGTGGGATTGATTTGAAACCACCAAAGTTGGGATACCCTCTGGAAAACATACAAAAAGCCATGGAAAATCACCAAAATCACCATGTTTCATAGGTAAATCAACGATATCAATGGCAATTTTCTATAGCAGTAGCAAACTGTTAGTTTACCAGAGGGAAGTGTCATAGGTGCTCTCCAGTCTGTAGGTTATCCATGTCAATTTGATGCTCCAGAATTGACAATGCTGATGCTGGTCGCAAGGTGCTACATGCAGCAGACGCCACCATGGACAGCGGTGAGGACACGATGCTGTGCCTAACTGTCCAGTGCACTGGAATGCACTGGAAAATCGACTTAGATATGGAAAATGCTTCTAGGGAAAACCCATCAATTTCATTTGATGTCCATGTCTATGATGATTTTACCCCAAAATTTGGGGAAAAAATGGGAAGAGAGATCGGGTCTCACCCCTTTGGCTCGCCCTTCAGTTAGGCGGCAGACCTTGTTTGACCAGGTTTGAGCTGAAAACCACCAGGGGTCATCAATCAATCCAGGGTTGACTGGAAACCCTCTGGAAATCAAGCATCACGAAATATCGATCTAGTTGAATCCAATATCAACATCGGCAATCCAACATCACAATATGTCACAATGAAAAACTCTCCGCACTTGTAATCCTGAAATCATTCTTTGTTCATGCCCCCCAAAAAAATAACCAGCTTAGATTACAGAAAGCCCCAAATAGATGCCAAAAAGTTGCAAGGTGGTGCCCCATAGTTAGCTAAGTTGATTTATAACTCCCATAACTATGGTTTATGGCAAATATAACTATAGTTAATGGGGTTTACAAACCAACTTATAACTGGGGGGCACCATCCTGTGGAAACCCGGGAATTATGAAGGAAGCATCATTTTTTCCACATCCTGGAACCACCCAGCAGGACCTGTTCCTCCGTCCATGCTTGGAGCGCTTGGCACTGGTGGCAAGTCGTGGTGCTGCCGGGTCTCCGGGCGATGATGGGGGTGCTGTGTAGCATCGGCTGGGAGTTTCACATGTTAAGGCCATCACAAATGGCAGGTTTACCAACCACAAAATGCTGATTTGCTAAGAAAATCCGCTAAAAATTACAGTATCCAACCAACCAACCCCATTCTTGATGATTATTGTGAGCTTATATAAACAACCAAAATTGAATTTAACTCTCGAATCTCCAGAGCAATTTGGATCTGGAAGACAATTTTCCTATTGGATAGCGCATGATAGAGCCATGAATAGGTTCCATGTTAAGTTCGGCCTGTTTATGTAGTATTGTCCATCTCTTTTGGGACGATGATTCTCAACGAGTCAGTCCATGCTTTGTGGCAGTCGCAACTAAGACCGGACCAAGCAATTGGATCAGAGTGGTCATGTTTTAGATTTCGACCCATTCTAATTTGATGAATTTCAGGGACAACAAATGTTGAATAAAAGCTATAGGTATATAATAGTATATTGATGTTTATTGAGTTTTTGTGCGTCTACCTTGGTGCATGGACCGGGGTTCAAATGGCATGATTTTTTGAGTGTGAGCGTTTCGGTGGCCTTCCATTCATTCCAGCTCCAAGAGTGGGATGGGAGCTGGAAAACCCCAAAACGAAAGCAGGTTGAGTGGCGAAATTCCACATAATTGGGACCAAAATGAGGGGTGTTGAATATGAAAGGGGGATGGGATCATTCCCCATCAATTCACAAAAATTGAGTATCTCATTGATAGACTATTAATATCCCACTATATCCCTATTGCTGTCGGTTACATGATCAATGCCCTCAGAAAAACAGCCACGGGTCTTTCGTAGCAGTTGCTGAGGATTGTCTTGTCCTCCTCTTGGAGGTTGGAGCCGGCTTCGGTTGAGGAAGCAGCCAGGGATGTCGTGATGTCGTGACAGCCCTGTGTTGTGTTGTGCCGTTGAAGGCTTCATACACGAGTATCCTCTGGTAATTTAACATAGCTATTGAAAATGGCCCATTTATAGTGAGTTTTCCCATTAAAGATGGTGATTTTCCATAGCTATGTTAGTTTACCAGAGGGTATATCACCCAATTTCGTGATTTTACTTGAGTTTACTCTGTTGGTGTATTACGTTTATTGTTGGGTATACTCCCTAGTAAACTAACATACTTGTAGGAACAGAAATCCATGGGTCTACTCGTTGGAAATGATCTATAAATGGTGTTTTCTCCTAGTTTTTTGTCATAGCCATGTTAATTTACAGGAGGTTGCCCTTGATTTTGTTGGGCCCAAGAAGTGCTGCAGGAAGTGCGCAGACAGTTGGCGACAGTAAAGCTGTCACTTTGGGGTGCCACTGCCAGTGATGCCACACTGGGTCCTTCAACCAGGGCGCAGGAGCCCGAAAGGAAGCGGAAACTGGCCAGAAGTTGTGTAGGTTCTTAGAAAAAGACACGGAAAATCCATGAAAATCCTCTATAAATGGAGCTTTTAGTCGCAAGTTCTTATTGTTCTTACAAACGCGAAGATGCCAACCCAACCAGCTGAACATGTGCTTGATGGAGGCCATCTAAGATTGGGAAGATCATCTCAGCTGTTCGCCATGGACAACATATGAAACTATGCCGGAACATGTTCCGTGGTAGTGTAACGGGTAGGGAACAAACTGTAAGCAACTCTGAGTTCGACTTTGAGTTTAGAAAGGGTCTTGCAAGATCAGTCTCATGGGCTTGACTCCCATGACACACTCTCAGGTGGAGAAGCTAGCTGCCTGATCCAGATATGAAAGTCACAAAAATAACAAACCAAGTTATGCATCTAACTGGTGCACTGACTCATAGGATCTCATAGGTTTTGATTTCTTTTGTTCCATGGACGCTCAGGGCAAAGCAATTTTTCAAGTTGGTCTCTGCGGAAGGGGAGTCGGCAGAAAACCGCAGTTGTTTTAGATGAGGATGCAGCCGAGACCTTGGGGTACGTACGTACACACGTACGTACGTACCTACATACCTACCTACCTACCTACATATCTACATACCTACATACCTACATATCTACATACCTACATACCTACCTACCTACCTACCTACCTACGTACGTACGTACGTACGTACCTACAGACAGACATACAGACATACAGACATACAGACATACAGACATACAGACATACAGACATACAGACATACAGACATACAGACAGCCAGCCAGGCAGACAGACAGACAGGCAGACAGGCAGCCAGGCAGACAGACAGACAGACAGACATTTATATACATACATTTACATACATTTACAATCATTTACCTACATTTACATACATTTACAATCATTTGCATACATTTACATACATGTACATAACATTACATTACACTACACTACATAGCATTACATACATACATACATATACATATACATATACGTGTATATATATATATATTATGCTAGATAAAGAAGAATAACATATATAGATATAGTGGTGAGTGTTTACATGCAATATCATGAATATCATGAATAAGATAGCATATGATAAATGTGCGCTAGTATTTTTGCCAAAAAAATCCATCGTGCGCGAACGCAATCCATAGATGCGCGATGGAAGATGACATCGCCCCTGACTGCAAGAAGCCGCGGAGAGCTGATAGCTGGCAACCACGCGCCTTGGCGACTCTGGCTTTCGGTCGGATTTCACCAACCAATCTACGGTGATACAACCAGCACTAGGGAGATGAAGGGGGCTAATATAAATATACCATGGATCATGGGATATATATATATATATATATGAACATCAATCTGATATGGCTTTGCCTGAAATTTGGTGATAGCAATTTATGGCCACAAAAAAAAGTTGGAAATGATGATTTGAACAGGTCGATTTGGGAAGACTTGGCCGCCATACGGTAGTTTAGCAAGCGAATTCATGGCAAGGATGGCCCCAAAACCAGTAAGCATACGTTTGGGTGGATTTCACTGCCATGTGCTCGATTTTCCGGCCTAAGCCGGCCGGCGCCATGGTCAACACTACATGGTTATTGTTGCCTACCCCTCCGCAACATGCCCAACATGCCGCAATTGCCCTCGATTTTCACCCAGTTTCGGTGCAGGAAATTAGCCACAAAAAACGGTCGCGTGTGCGCCAGCAAGAAACCTAGCGTGCTGTAGAATATTCATTTCTCATGGCTATGACTAATTATTGCTAAATGCATGTCACCCTTGACACCCACCCTACCATACCGAAAAATATGTTCCTTCCCCTGGGTTCAAGAGCCGTAGGCTATAACATGCTACACTGTAGCCTTTGTGTTAAACCCACTGCAAAAATCTCCAACTGTGAAAGGTTTCAATTGCCCCCCATCCAAATAGTATTTGCTTAAAGACGTAGATGTGACATAGAGGTATCATATATTGTTTACCTAAAGATAATGTCCCCAGACAATTTTTCCCCATGAAATGTCACATGAATGTCAAATGATACCTCTGTCCAGTTGGCCAAAAATATCAAAAAATATCAAACATGTCAAATTTTATACCTATATATATATATAGTTTATATATATATATATCAAAAAAAAATGTAAAAAAACTCCAGGTTTTTCCACCATGTTTTTCCCCTCAAAAAAGTCCTCCAGATGATGGCTGCCCGGTGGGTGCCCTGCTCTGCGACGTGGCGCAGCTGCGGGACGTCTTCCAGCTCGCGGCGGCCTGCACCGTGCCGCTGACGCGGCCCAAGGCGGTGAAGGACGGCGGAAAGGGCGGAAATCCCCAGGGTCAAATGGAAAATCCCCAGGGAAAATCATAGGAAAATATGGGAGAAAATCCCATAAATGAAGGTTTATAGCTGGGAAATTCAGGGGTAATAGTTGGCTAATAATGGTCAACAATTGTTGAGAATGGTTAATCATGGTTAATAATGGTTACAGTAATGGGATATTCGGATATTTAATGATCTACCCTCCGGTTTAAAATCAAACATGGCTGGGAAATCCCCGAACTAAAGATTTATAGCCGGGAAGTCATCTAACTAGATGGTGATTTCTCCAGTGGTCATTTTTTAACATCGATGTCTTGAAGGTGATGGTGGCTTCGCCGCCAAAATGTGGTGATTTCGCAACAGGTCCAGATGACATTCACTGAATGGAAGAACCTGCAGGTACCCCAAATATTGGATGAATGCCACGGCAATTTGTAGGTTGGGAGATGTGATTTTTTGACCCAAAAAACCACCCTTTACCCATGTCGCTGCTCCATTTATTCCAAGGACCCGACCCTGAAACGGTAGTGAAAGTGGAACTTATCCCCAAAAATGATTGTTTTGTCTTCGTTTTAGGCTGGTGGAGTATCACCATTTAGATGATTCCCATTTAGAGTAACCCCGATGTTCATCGAATTTACAGCTGATTTCCTTAAAAACAAAACCTTATAAGATATCAAAAGCCCAGTATATAGGGTTGGTCTGAAAATGGAGTACTCCCAAATTTGATGGTTAATCAGTATCACATGCCTGAATGGCCATAAATTTGGGGTAACTATCATTTTTAGACAACCCGGCATATCATATTGTTGCTTGTATATTCCGTTATATCCCCATTGGATGCATTGGTCAAATATGCCTATCTTTGATGCTAAATACTACAAGTCCGATCCACTAAGATATCCGTCTTACACTTGGTTGTATACTTCTACAAAGTTGGTTGCTTAAATCCCCCAACTATGTTTTTGGTTACTGTGCATCTCAATCTTACGAAAGCCAGCCGGACAGGCTGGATCGTTGTTGTTTGCGAACGTAGTGAGAGATTAGGGGGTCTGGGGGGACCCTTTACGGTGGGTTTTAGGAACGTTTTGCAAGGTTACTTACCAGGTGGCAAATGGGTGACGGTGGGGTAGCGATTCCGCCCTGGTCCGTGATTATTGGGCCCCCCTGGTCCATGATTATTGATTATTGGGGGTAACCGGGTAGACAAAGAGGGCAGATTGTGCTGACGTTCGACCAAGAACGGCGCGTTCCTTTTGGGGCATGGTATGCCCAAAAGGAACACGCCGCTTTTAGGTCATCTTGGAACCGTATTGCGTCTAGGCGGGACGTATGTATGGACAGAGAGATAAGCTTGGAGACATCAATAGATTTATAGATAGATGGAGAGTAGAAAAATAGATTAAGTTTACAGATAGATGGAGAGTATAAAAAATAGATCGAATAGATAGACAGACGGATAAAGTAGAATGAGTAGAAGCAGACAAATATAGATGGCGAGGGAGGGAGGGAGAGAGAGAGAGAGAGAGACTTACCCCAGTTGAATCTCTTAAAGGGTAAAGCATATTTTTTGTTCATTAATATATACATATATATAAATAAACTCTCCAGTTTTGTTGCTTAAATCACTTAAGATCCCTATTGTTTGTATTTGTGTTGTTTTTTATCCCGCATTGTTGTTTTTTTGGTTACATGTGTGGGTTTTTTTGTTGGTGACATCCCAATGTTTGATTCGCTTTTTTTAATCAAAATAGTAAGCATCTCCATTTGCTGCAGTATCATCATCTTAAATCTCCATTGATTGCTATCACATCAGTTGGTGAAATCCCACATTTTCACCTTGGAGCTCCAGGACCACCAGGGCCGCAAGGCGGTGCACCTCACGCTGGAAGCGGCCGCCGCGCTGATCTTTGGCGGCGCAGAGCTGCCGCAGGAGCCGCTGCCGCAGCTGCTGGAGCTGATGCGGAAGGGGGTGGAGTTTCGGCCAGGCGGGAGGCGCCGCCTTTTTGGGTGTTCATAATTGGTTATAACCTCTGGTAAAGATACAAAGTTAGCTATTGAAAATGGCCATAGAAATAGTGAGTTTTCCCATTAATAATTAGCTATGTTTGTTTATTCTCACTGGTTTGGGTGTTCATAATGATACATAATTCTGAATTTTGGGTGTTCATATTTTTTATTATATACTGGTTGGTGGTTTGGAACATGTTTTTCACATATTGGGAATCATACTCCCAACTGACTAATATTTGTTTCAGAGGAGTTGAAACCACCAACCAGATAATTGTAGTATATAAATGTGTGATTCATATATAACATATATTTCATAGTTCACATAATGATACATAATCCCCATCATTTACATGAATCGATTTCCAATTAATGTAACTATCCCTATATGGATTATGTTAAAAATGTATGGATTGAACTGTTATGTGTAATTATAGTAGTTATCGTATGTGATTGTGCATTTTAGGTTGCGGGTTATGACTTGCAACTTGTGTGGGGTATCTATTGTATGGGGTGATTTACAAACATAAGTATCTATTTATATATCCACTATATATATATATTAAAGGGCTACGCCCTCTGCCGCCGACCCCTGGACACTGGAGGGTCATGCCTGCCTCTGTGTCGTAAGCATGAAATGAACTCTAAAGAAACCAGAAACTGACTTAAACAAACCATTTGTATGAAAGTTGAAATCAAAGAACCTACAAGAAAACTAGCTGTCTGAGCTGTCTTCCTGCCGCCAAAAGCCTCACAAACGGCGCCTTCACCACACCAAAACAGCAGGGCCCTGAGGGACGGACCGGGCCTGCGGGCCACGGCTCTCACTGCCTAACGTTGCTTTCGGAACCTACAAGAAAACTTGCTCTCTGAGCTGTCTTCCAGCCGCCTGCCTAACGTTGCTTTCTGAATCGACAAGAAAACTAGCTCTCTGACCTGTCTTCCAGCCTAGTGCCTAACGTTGCTGTCTGAAACCAGAAGATCTCCTGGAAAGCGCCCGGCAGGTCGCCAAAGGACACGCTGCTGGGCCGCCAAGGGCGCCGGGAGACGTTTCGGTGCAGCCGAGCGCCTAACGTTGCTTTCTGAAACCAGAAGAAAATCTCCTGGAAAGCGCCCGGCAGGTCGCCAAAGGACACGCTGCTGGGCCGCCAAGGGTGCCGGGACACGTTTCGGTGCAGCCTAGTGCCTAACGTTGCTGTCTGAAACCAGAAGAAAATCTCCTGGAAAGCGCCCTGCAGGTCGCCAAAGGACACGCTGCTGGGCCGCCAAGGGCGCCGGGAGACGTTTCGGTGCAACCTAGTGCCTAACGTTGCTTTCTGAAACCAGAAGAAAATCTCCTGGAAAGCGCCCGGCAGGTGGCCAAAGGACACGCTGCTGGGCCGCCAAGGGCGCCGGGACACGTTTCGGTGCAGCCTAGTGCCTAACGTTGCTTTCTGAAACCAGAAGAAAATCTCCAGGAAAGCGCCCGGCAGGTGGCCAATAGACACGCTGCTGGGCCGCCAAGGGCGCCGGGACACGTTTCGGTGCAACCTAGTGCCTAACGTTGCTTTCTGAAACCAGAAGAAAATCTCCAGGAAAGCGCCCGGCAGGTGGCCAAAAGACACGCTGCTGGGCCGCCAAGGTCGCCGGGACACGTTTCGGTGCAACCTAGTGCCTAACGTTGCTTTCTGAAACCAGAAGAAAATCTCCTGGAAAGCGCCCGGCAGGTCGCCAAAGGACACGCTGCTGGGCGGCAAGGGCGCCGGGACACGTTTCGGTGCAGCCTAGTGCCTAACGTTGCTTTCTGAAACCAGAAGAAAATCTCCAGGACAGCGATCGGCAGGTGGCCAAAAGACACGCTGCTGGGCCGCCAAGGGCGCCGGGACACGTTTCGGTGCAACCTAGTGCCTAACGTTGCTTTCTGAAAGCCAGAAGAAAATCTCCAGGACAGCGATCGGCAGGTGGCCAAAAGACACGCTGCTGGGCCGCCAAGGGCCCCGGGACACGTTTCGGTGCAACCTAGTGCCTAACGTTGCTTTCTGAAACCAGAAGAAAATCTCCAGGAAAGCGCCCGGCAGGTGGCCAAAAGACACGCTGCTGGGCCGCCAAGGGCGCCGGGACACGTTTCGGTGCAACCTAGTGCCTAACGTTGCTTTCTGAAACCAGAAGAAAATCTCCAGGAAAGCGCCCGGCAGGTGGCCAAAAGACACGCTGCTGGGCCGCCAAGGGCGCCGGGACACGTTTCGGTGCAACCTAGTGCCTAACGTTGCTTTCTGAAACCAGAAGAAAATCTCCAGGAAAGCGCCCGGCAGGTGGCCAAAAGACACGCTGCTGGGCCGCCAAGGGCGCCGGGACACGTTTCGGTGCAACCTAGTGCCTAACGTTGCTTTCTGAAACCAGAAGAAAATATAGAAAATCTCCAGGACAGCGATCGGCAGGTGGCCAAAAGACACGCTGCTGGGCCGCCAAGGGCGCCCGGACACGTTTCGGTGCAGCCTAGTGCCTAACGTTGCTTTCTGAAACCAGAAGAAAATCTCCAGGAAAGCGCCCGGCAGGTCGCCAAAGAACACGCTGCTGGGCCGCCAAGGGCGCCGGGACACGTTTCGGTGCAACCTAGTGCCCAACGTTGCTTTCTGAAACCAGAAGCAAATCTCCAGGAAAGCGCCCGGCAGGTGGCCAAGGGCGCGGGGAGACGTTTAGGGGCAGCCTAGTGCCTAACGTGGCCAAGGGCGCCAAGGGCGCGGGAGACGTTTAGGGGCAGCCTAGTGCCTAACGTTGCTTTTTGAAACCAGAAGAAAATCTCCAGGAAAGCGTGGCAAGGGCGCCGCGAGGCCTTTGGAGGCAGGCTAGTGCCTAACGTTGCTTTCTGAAGCCACTAGAAAAGCTCTTGGAAAGCGCCCAGAATCCTGGAAAAGCTTTTTCTCGGGCGCGCTCCCCCTGCAGATTGCTGGGGTCGGCGGATATATATCTGTGCATATACATATATGTATATAATTAATATGTGTGTGTGCACCTTATGCAGCCACATGAAAACCGGGTTGCCAAACTCTGAGAGGAATTCTCGGAAGATCACATCACCGAAGAGCTCCACTGAGTATGGGGCTACAGCCCACCTATGGAATCGGCCCGGTTAGGAGGTCTTGTTAACCAGGGTTATTAATCAGGTCACAGCCGGAGTTCTATAGCAGATCAAGTGGATTTACACATGTTTTTGTAATAGGGATCCGGGAATCCTCACCAACAAGAATCAACTTAGATTTGTCCATCATGATACTGGTTTGTCTCAACAAAAAACAAGGGCTGCGTCTACTTCTAATTTGGCAAGTTTTAGGAGCTGAAAATCATGGTAAGCACGAGGAATTTTGGTGATGTTCAAGGCATTCATCCAGAAACTCGCGGCTAAATGTTAGTCTGACCATGTGCGGGAGGAAAAACAAAAACATCCTTTTTTATGTTACTGAAATGACCATACATGAATATATCATGGATAACAATGTGCCACAAGCAGTTTGGCAGGTTTGCGGATGGGTGCGCAACCCTACCGAGGGCGTGCCGTCACCGTAGAGGCCGCCCAGTTTGTTTCGTTGGGAAGGTCCATGTGCTGTGCTGGTTAAAACCTCTGGTAAACATACAAAAGCTATTGAAAATGGCCATAGAAATAGTGGATTTTCCCATTGAAAATGGTGATTTTCCATAGTTATGTAAACGTTTACCAGAGGGTATATCTCAGTGATGGCTTTTGATCCGTTTACCATAGGGTACCAGCTTTCTCCTGGTAGGCTGCACAACTCTTCCGCCTTTCAAGTAACAGACTGGAGCTGCATGATGTCACCAGATGAGGTGGCAGCAGGTAAGCTGAAACCTCCGGATTTCATCATCCAGTGTAATTAGATCATTTACTATTTATCCCTACCATATCTCCATCACATGGATTGTATATGGATTGTGTATGGCTTGAAAGTTCGCTATTGCAAAGGTTGAATGGATGTGTTTTCCTACTTCTATACCTGCATATGGTCCGGCTTGAAGCCACCACCAATGCCCAGTGAATGCTGTCCATCCCCATTCTCTCCCTATCCTTCTCTGATTGTATCCATCGTATCACACAACAGGGACACTCTCTCTATGTATATTATTTATTTTTTGATGTTTATTCATTTTTATTTATTTTATATATGTAATACTACATAGTTGAACACACGTATAATTTTACATAATATGTAAATATATCTCAATGACAATCCACGGCGCTAGAGATCAAGGCCGCTGATCGACCCGACGGGGCCTTCCGCTTCGTGGAGCTCTTCGCGGGCATCGGCGGCTTTCGCTGGGCGTTGGAGGCCAGGATGGGAATTCAACCATGAAAAATGGGGTCATCGTGGGGATATATTGGATATATATGGGCATATACCCAGTGATGATACATTATGATACATTCAAATTCTAGAAAAGTCTATAAAATCACATCCGCTCCCTTCAAAAATCGAAAGATGCCTTGGTCGACTCGAAGGCCTTGGGCGGCCGCTGTGTCTTCGCTTCGGAGGTGGATGTGGATTGCCAGGCTCAAGCTTCACCGGGATTACTTGTGAACCGTAAAGCTGGGCAATGATTTGAATACGCAAAATATATGCAATCAAAAGCATAAATCAGATCAAATCAGATGGAATCAGATTGAATCAGTTTGCATTTGCATGTTGTGATTTCTTGGGGTGCAAAAACGATTGGTGACACAACCTGTGTGTGCATGACCCCCTTGAAAACCGCTGTGTTGTTCTAGGAGTATCAAATCAAACGTCATCAAATAAGGTCAAGTCGACCCCAAGATCAGCCGGAGGATGCCTATGCCGCCAATTTTGGCCCTGCACATCTCTATGGCGACATCACTATGGTGGACACTTGCGTGGTACCAGCACATGACCTGCTGACAGCAGGCTTCCCATGTCAGCCCTTCACAAGCGCCTTGGGGTGAACGCTCGTGTTTTGGACGGGGGATGACGGGGGCATCAGGATGCCAGACAAATCCAAACAACAACAAAAAAAACACGGGATCTCCCAGCTAAAATTGATCATATCGTTGATCATGGTTGCTATACTTGTCAGGATTTGTTTCGTACGGTAGCCCTTGGGACTGCTGCTGTCGGTGTACGGATTGCACCATCACCAAAACGGGGTGACTAAAATGGCATACAGAATACCCCGAGATTTTAAAATTTCAAGGGGAAAGTGGGTGAAATAATAATTGAACCCAGCAATTTTCTGGATGCCCTTTATCTCTAGGGAAAAGAAGGACATGCGAATGCTGCGAAAGATATGAGGGTCATGGTTTCATCACTTATGTTGCTTCGCTTGCCTTTTGTTTATCCCTCAAGTTTCATAACTCATCCCTCAAGTCAAGGCCCAAGAGGGCTTATGGCTTAGCAGAGTTTCTCCATAGCTTTTCATATGTTGCACAATATCTTCAATGTGTTCGAAACACCTGCTGGTTGTCACCGTCTCATTTCGGCAGGCTGGGATTCTCTGAAGGATGTCAGTTTTTGGCCAGAAAAACATCACCATCAACGAGAGTTGTGCTGATGCCAGCCCCATCCAGTCATCCCCCCCATCCAAGGACGCGGTGAGCGTCTCGGCTTCGACGATGCGCGTGGGGAACTCTTTTTCGAAGTGCTGCGGGTGCTGCACCAGCGACAGCCCAAGGCGTTCCTGCTGGAGAATGCGCCTGGGATCTCGATGTAACCCCCATGGAGCTGGGTACCCGGGACTGGACAAAATCTGGCCGTCCATGGCATGCACAGGTATGGAATATGCAGTTCCTGGATGGTGGTCATTGGGATAGCGACCCGCAGAAGTGTGTCTTCGGCGAGGTCTACAAGAAAGTCATGTCTTCTTTGGAGGAGCTGGGGGCCAACCTTACGGGGCTGGTGTTCACGAACAAGTCTCCATGAGATTTGAGTCGTTTCACGCAAGGCCTTGCCTTGCAATGATTTTTGGAGTTCTTATTACTGCAAATGAGATTATATAAATGATATCAAATGTAAATTAATGTAGATTCCTTTTGTGAGTAGATGGCCTGACCTTTTATCACTCAGATCAAAAAAATAGTGTACTTATCACCCCCCCATGTGCTATACACATAGATAACCAATGACAATCGTACATAGTTAATACTATGTAGTTTAGTTAATTCAGTACATGTGTGCTTTTTCTTTTTTGTTTAAATGCAAGCACACAGATACATAATGATACACATATATATATAGTAATATATAGTATTATATATATATGGTAATATATATATATAGTAATATATATATATATATAGTAATATATATATATAGTAATATATATATAGTAATATATATATATATATGTGTGTGTGTACACATAGATGTGATACTGTATTGTTTGACCGCATGCATTACAGGACGTGGGCTACACGGTCCAGTCCCGCCAGATCAACGCAGAGGGATGGGTGCCACAGAAACGGGAGAGGCCCGGCCCCGCATGGCCCCGCGACGCCAAGGGGCCGCTAGCAAGGTTGGTTTCTACCTATAGTAGGCTGGTTGGTGGTTTGGAACATGGCTTTTATTTTCCATAATATATGGGATAATCCTTCCCATTGACTTTCATATTTTTCAGAGGGGTTGAAACCACCAACCAGTCATGGTTTGGTTAGTAACTATGGTCTATGGTAGGTTATCTAATAGTAAAAATGAATGTTTATTGGGTTATAAATCAACAAACATTTAAAAAAACGTGGCCATCTACAGGACACTGCCGTTGGATGAAGGGAAAACCTACGGAATGGCGAAGCGATGGCGAACTGTTAGAGAAATTCTGCCATAGTGAGCTGGATGAGTTAAACTGATGGGCGGAAAAGAGTATAAATCCCAGAAATGAACAACATGGCTCTCTGAGATGGCGAGAAAAATCACATCCTTCCTTTCAACTTGAGAGCATTGTGACATATTCTTACACGTTGCCGACGTAGTGAAGGACATCCCCAAGTCCATGATGCCCTTGGGATCATTGGACTGGATTAGTTGGATCCCCATTTCGTTCGATGACTTTCCCAGCTAGAAACCTCAAACCTCCATTTGTAGATGATTAAAATGATTAAAACACTCCATTTTTAGGGCATAAATGGATCATAACGGATCACTGTCAGCACCTTCGGTCCGCGAGAAAAAGGCTGTACTTCGTGGGTTTCCGCCGCGACGTGGACGGCACTTTCTTTCGCTGGCCGGAGCCTCCCAAGGGCAGACTCTGTCTGAAGGCGGGCGGCAGTTTCAATGGGTTGGTCCTTGGCTATAAATGGAGGAATACCATGGTGATCTGGAAACGAAACCTGTTTTGAATCTTATCTTTTGCAAGTCATTCAAGATTTGCGTGCTTAGCATTGATTGGCTGATTAGCCATGAACTTGCCAAAAAAAAGTCATGCGGAAAAAAGTACGGGAGAGTATGGAGAGTATGGAGAGTATGGAGAGTATGGAGAGTATGGAGAGAGAGAGAGAGAGAGAGAGAGGTATATCAACCCCACAAGCCGTTTCAGGAATTCATCCTTTAGTTGCAATTTTGCTTTGGAGGGCGCAGGGGCATGATATGAATTGGCAAGCGTTTTGAACACAAAACCATCCAAACAGTGGGTAGTGGGGTAGTTTTCAGGGGCCTGAAGTGAAACCTTGGAGGAAAGGGCACTGAAGGATACCGGGGCCAGTTTTTCCCGGCCATTTCATCACCAAACAGCGCAGGATATCTTGGAAACTGACGTCCAAAGCTGGCAGTTGAGCGAGGCGCAGTGGACGGCGGTGCAGAGCCTTGGCTGTGACCGGACCCCCCGAAGACGGTGGTAAAAACCCATGGTGTCCCGTAGGTCTTCCCTTACATATAAAGCGATCCATTGACTTTCATTGTGTGATTCCCTGGCAAACTCAAACCACAGCTGGGTTATAACTTGAGGGATATCCCTATGAAGTAAACCTGGTTATGCAGGGATATGTCATGTAATTATTCCACTGCTAGGCCATGGTAGCTTAGCAAGGTTATGGTGGGATATCTATATCTATTTATATATATATACATAAAGTATATCTGAATCGGTGTAACTCATATAAGGTGGTGCCCCATACTTAGCTAAGTTGATTTATAACTCCAATTTCGCTATGGCTTGTGGCACATTGATCTATAGTGAATGGAGGTAATAAACCAACAAACATACCCTCCTGCTATTTAACATAGCTATGGAAAGTGACCCATTTATGGATGATAAAAATGATGATTTGCCAGAGGCTATGATCATTTTACCCATGATATCTCATGATCTTCCCAACCAAAAACCACGTGATTTTTCCTGGTGAACTTCCAAGAATTTCCATGGACTTACATCTTAGTAAACCCCCAATCACTCGAGATTTTTGGTTGTATCAATTTTGTTGGCATAAACCATGGCTTTCAATTGGAGGTCTACCAAGAGAGGCGGCGATTTTTTTGGCACCGTGGCCGAGGAAGAGCTCCACCTGGCAGTCGGGTGGAGCCAAGCTACGCTTGGCTCACCTGGATGGGATCGCGCGAACGCTCACCTCCAGCTACAAGGCTGCCAGGGGCGGGTCCGACTGGTATACAGATTGTATACATGTATATATATATATTGCACATATACACATAGTAATTGTTACATATATTGTAGATAGAGAGAGAGAGAGAGAGATAGAGAGAGAGAGAGTACATATTCATGGATATATTTATATATATAGATATACAAATCGACTAAAACCAAATTCGAATCCCATCCCGCTGCAGCCCAGTGGCCCAATATCAGTATCGATGTCATGATGGTCCCTAGCTATGTTTTATGGTCCCTTTTTCTCGATCCTAATGTTGGGAAAATCTATGATGGCTATCTTTGGGGAAGACTTATAAAAATTATAGAAACTAAATCTTGAGAATCCAATCGCGAAAAGTGTAGAACATGGGTCCAGTTTTGGCATGGATGGTGAATTTCCCCATTTTTGTTCCATGTTATATTCCCCATAAAACATTGCCCAGGATTGGGGATGTCACAGCCATGTTTGAGGATATTGTGCCCCCTAGTTTTTTAACGTAGCGAACTGGAGAATCACCTTTTTCATAGGTAAACCATCAAAAAGCATCTATACATGGGCAATTTTCCATGGCTATGGTAAATAACCAGATGGTATATATTAATCAACTTAGATATTCACCAACACTAAACCATTACTAAACATCTATTAACCGTTATCGACTATGAATTCATTGACTACTAATTGAAGTGTTTAACCATTTATTGACCAGTTACTAACATTTATTAACCATTAGTAACCATTTAGGAGCCTTTGATTCACCATTTATAGACCATTTCTTCACCATGTGTGAACCATTTATTAACCATCATCCATCACCAAGTAATTATGGGTTAATATCCATCCACATAATAACCATGATACATAATTAACCATACCCTTGGTTTAACCATTTATTTAATCATCAACCATCATTAACCGTTCGTATCCCATGGCCCCTATATATAGGCCTCCTTTGCTTGCACGGCCGAGCTGGTGGATTCGGAGGATGATCGCGTGCTGCGGGGGCTGCTGGGTACCCATTTGGGAATGGTTTATACCACCTATATCCACGTACAAAAAATGGTGATTTGGATTGATTTGGGGGTATTTTAGCCTTTAGTAACTCAAATGTACTCAAATGTACTCAATTTTCAATATTCATAATATTCTATCTCCTGTCGAACAACTATAGTCTATAGTTTACCTTTCGGTACTCAAACATTGCTAGGCGGCTGAAACAGGGTGACCTGATAGCCATGCAGGACTTTCCAGCACGCCATGTTTGATTACCAGAGGGTAATTTACCTATAATATCCTATAATATCCTATAATTACCCTCCAGTAAGTTAGCATAACCCACCATTTGACCATTTTTTAGAGATTGATGTGATTTACCTAAGTTTATAAGTTACCATATTTGCCCTGCAGTAAATTCAAACAGATGGAAAAAGCACCATATGTTCCCTAGGGCGATTTCTTTTCATAAACGCTACTCGAGACCACCCTGCGCCACGGTTGAACCCATACCCAATTGGATTTGTTTTGCCTACCTAGCACGTCTACACACTTTGATGCAGAAATATTTATTTGATGTTATTATATATTATATGTGCAGATATCTGCAGCATTTGCAATGTATGCGCCTACTTGTGTAATTGCATACTCCGATGTGAGCGTGAAAGTGATGTTCTATCTTTGCCACTGGGAGGATTTCTTCAAGTGGCTTGCAAACCATAAGCCAGATAGGCACTGGCAGAGTCTCTGCCAACCAAGGTTGCAGCGACCCCGTTTCTTCACCCGACGGGAATGTGCTCGAATCATGGGTTTTCCAGAGGACTACGTCTTTGCTAATGAGCATAGTCCCTCGGATTGATTTCAGCTGGGGATCATTGCAGTTTGACAGCAGCGACTTAGCTCGGACAGGTTGAGTTTGACATAGTTTGACAGCCTAAAACGATCTAAAACGCCCCAACCAGGTGAGAACAGAGCCTACCATCAGCTGGGCAATGCGGTGTGCCCACCGGTGATCAAAGCCGTTGCAGAAGAAATTCTGAAGACTTTGGGGATTCCCAGTGGAAAAAATATGCCCGGCTGCGGCGGAATGGAACGTGTGGTTGCTGGGGAGCCAAGACCACTACGTGCCTTAAATGAATTTGAAAGGTTTTGAAAGGACAAAGGGATGTGCGTGTGTGTGTGATGATATTGATAATATTGGGTGTTTATCAGTTGCAATCAGGATAGGTTATCCTTTCATTTCAGCGAAGGTGGTTTGGGTATACAAGTTGAGAAAGAACATACTGTACATGGCTGTGAAGAGAGACCCGGACACTCACTTTGCAGTAAGGGTGTTTTTCATTGTTTTCCCAGGCACATGCTTTCCCAAGGATGATGGGAACATCATGGAACCAGTTTTCTGTAGGTGAACACCTCAAAACCACTAGAAACATGGATTCAAATTCAAACCCATCCATTGATCCATTGAATCCATGATTTGCTGTTAACCCTTCATGTTTGATAGGTACAGTCATATGTTCCTATAAGTTTTCCCTGAGAAACGCCGTGTTTTTTTGGTTTTTTCTCGGGGTGGCTGGGATCATGATCTGCACAGGAGATCGTGGACTGGCTGCAAAAAGCTCAGGAGGTCACCCAGCGATGCGTGGTGCTGGACGATTTGGACTTGGGCCTGGGAAGTTGCTTTGTGCAGGTCAACGGCAAGGCGAGTGATCCCAAATTTCAGATGGGATAGATGGGGGTATGGGCCCGGAAAAAATGCGTCGATCATCATGCAGTTTTTTATTAATATATCATAAGTATAATACATATATCCATGTCTATCCAGATATCCAGTTTCGAGTCTGGAAGTGATTAAGGTTTCTGACCAGATTGCACACACTTGTTGTTTTCAATCGTGCTCGGGTTTTGACCCTTGACTTCTGCTGTGTTGTTAAGATAGAAACATGTCATGGCCGATACCGCGGGTTGCCGACACCAGTAGTGGACTATCATACCTGTCAGGTGTATAGGGATGCACGGGCCTTTAAAGAATGGACTCAGATGGACCATGATGAATCTGAAAATTGAACTCCCAGCACTTATGCTTGGCAATGGCCCAGTGTCATCAATTTTCACGGAGTAGTTTATTCCAAGAAAGGTGCTGTCCTCCAGTGTGGTGTGTGGGTTCATGATTATCCCCAACTAATTATACGCACTTATACTTACAGTCACAGTCAAAGTTACAGTTTGTTATTGCATCACCATAAAGTTAATTAACGACTACCCATAGTTACTTATGAAACCATAGGTAAGTTGCTGAAAAAAACTAACTATAGTTGCTCTAGAGCAGTTCTACTTATAGACTTATGGCATCTTATGGTTAGTTTGCTAGTTACTTGTCCATCGTTAAGCTAGTTATAAACCAACCTTCGATCCCCCTCATGGGAAACCGCCGACCACGGGTCCCACGGGTAGGAAGGCCTAAGCGATGCAGATGTCGAAGCAGCAGTGGTAACGCTAAACAGCCGCAGAGGATCCTCCACAGAATCATTTCATGGGGATTTCATGGCGATTTAATGGGGATTGAATGGAGATTTAGGGTTTAGGGTTTAGTGGGGTTTGTTGTGATTTAATGGGATTCAATGGGTATTGTCAATCAACAATAATTTATCAAGTGTTGTTTTGCTGGTGATTTGTGAATTTTCCCAACGGGAAATCCAGCACTGGGGGAATATATAGAAAATGGATGAGAATATGTGTGTGTTTTTGCTTAAGCTTAAGATTGAATAGTAAGATATGGTTACTTAAATAATAATGTGTGATATATGTACGAATATTTTTTCCGGGTTACTTAAGATTCCTTAAGCAAATGCAAGTGACTCGATTTTTCATGGGACCATGTTTGGAATTAGTTTGTTTACCTTCCGGCAATCAAACATGCGTAGCTGCTAGCCTAGCTGGTAAATTCCTTATAAATGGAGGTTTATAGAAAGCACCAAAAAAGGAGACTTTATGAAGCTAATATGGTGATTTTAATGAGATATCATTGGGGATTATCAATCATTATAGACTAGAGGAATAGCGGGATTATTTGAATTATCTTTATCCATAATGGGAATCCCTTGCTTAATCAACCAGTATAACGGAATGATAGATGTTTTTTAGCCATCAAGGAGGGATAGTACAATAACCCCGCGCATTTCATTTTAGCTTGGCTTGCACCTTAACACTGCCAACACATTGCCGGCCCAGAAAACGATAAGAGTAAAAAGAACGATAGCGAGCTTATACATGTACATGTTCGTGAAGCCTGAAGATGGCAACCTGCACAGGCCTCCAAAACGATAGCTAAACGATAACAAAAACGATAACAAAATATGAAAAAAACAAAACGCGAGCGTTTGGGCGGATGCCCACCTGACCGGTTTGAGCATATCAGCTTTCGAAGACCTGTATCTTTGATACATAGCGACGGAACATGAAAGGACATGAAAGCAAAATGAAAGGAAATGAATGCAAAATGAAAGGAAATGAATGCAACATGAAAGGAGCATGGTAGGAAATGAATGCAAAATGAAAGGCGATGAAAGGAAATGAAAACAAACGATGACATCCGTTGACTCTCGACCTAGGATGCTTTCACACCCACAGAAAGCTGGAAAATTCAGACTTCTTGTCTACAGGGAGCTCACCACCTGAGAAAACGATAAGAGTAATTAAAAAAACGATAACGTGATTTTGGATCATTTAAAAAGATACCGGGTTTCAATACAACCCCATATGCGGATACAAAAATGATCATGTAAGGATACAGTTGAGAAATGAACATGATATGAGCGGTTGGTTAGTTGTTTCAATGGGGTTTTAACCACCAGAGATACCAAGTAGCATCAACCAACATCAACCATGGCCGACTTAGTGGGAAAACCACGACTGAAAATCCGGAGATTTTAACTCAACATTCATTTACAGGGACTTAATCATCAAACAAGTGAATATAATTACCCTATGGTTATTTAACATAGCCATGGGAAATGGCCCATTTATAGAGGTTTACCTATTAAAAATGGTTATTTTCCATGGCTATGTTAAATAACCAGATGGTAATGATGCTACGCTGATGAGTATTACACGCTTTGTGGTGATGTAATGGATAGTTAATAACTGTATAACCAACAATTTGATGTTTTTTTGTTGGGTGATGACTGTAGGGCATTACTATGCAATATATAGGAGATTATCATGTTCCATGATGGGAATCTCCGCTCGCATGGCAACTGGAAGTCCTCGGGGTTTGAAGCATGTTCGAACTGGCATCTACAAATGCCTTTCTTATTAAGGTATGTATGATTACATATAAAATCATATATATATATATGTGTGTGTGTGTATGTATGTATGTATGTGTGTATGTATATGTAAATCATCTAAAGCTGCATTGAGGTGCGGATGTTTTTCCAATTGTCTCATGTTTTCTACAGGTAAATTCACCCTAAACGGTGCATTCATCAGGTAAGGAAGTTACAACTGGATCAACTGGAGGATTCGAAGATCTTAAACAGGTTGGTTGCACTGTACCCCGCTAGATTGAGCATTAACCCATATTCATCCCTGTATCCAATGGGAAAATCATGTCCAGACTCAGTTTCGGGGCTTTCGATGTGGAAATTCCAGAGTTTAACATTGGTTATATAATGTTAAACCCTATTAATCCAAGTTTTGATTGGTTAATCCCCATTCTATCACCAGTTTGCTTAAGTTAACTCCGATTTTTCTGGGCACCTCCGGCCATCAAACATGGAGTTTCTCCCAGGTCACGAAATATGGAGGTTTCCAGCTGGGAACATCATCGGACTGATTGGGGTATGGAAAATCACCATTTTCAGTGGGTAAATCCATTATAAATCACCATTTTCAATAGCAAACTGTTAAATTACCAGAGGGTACTGGAGAGTACCCTTTGCTAAACTAATATAGCTACGGAAAATCACCATCGTTGATAGGTAAATCAACGATTTCGACTGGGCCATGTGAAATGACCGGATGGTAAATCCCATTTTTGGGTTGGAACGTGTTGGAAAAGATCTCACTTTTGCTGCTGGACCTCTGGTGGAGAATTCCTGAGGCGACGTCTCAGCCGTGCTGAAGAGCTTCAGCGATGCAGTTTGCGGGGCGCCATGGCGAGAGCGGTGGGAGAAGTTGGAGAGGCACGGACAGGGCCATGGCAAGTGGGTCATGTGGGTCATGTGGGTCATGTGGTACCCTCTGGATCCCTCTGATAAACTACCATAGGTATGGTATCGATGGCCAATTTAGCATGATTTTAGCTATTGAGAATGGTGATTTGTTCCGGTTCGCTATGTTAGTGTACCAGATGGTAAACCCAACAAATCAACCATGCCCAATTGAGTGTTCAAAACCCCAGTTGGTTGATGATTATAGGGGGTTATACTCTCAAGTATATATGAAGGGCTTTGATGATTCGCTAGTGAATCGCTATTGCAATCTCTGTTGACCAAGCAGTATAATGGAACGACAGAGGGTTTTGAACACTCAGTCGGGGTTTCTTGTGGGGTACCGGGTATATCCTTATTTGGGATGATGAACCATAGTTTCCCAAATGTTTGATGGAAGTGTAAACAC